TTTTTTTGGGGTGTTTATTTGAACCCCGTAAGTGATGTTTTCCTGGCATCTATTAACACAATGGAGACCATAAAAAGCAGTGCATGATAACGTCTTTTTAAATCAAGTAACAGTTAAATACACATTTATATCCAGAGTTATCATGTGTTTGGTTAAGTTACCAGATGAGTTGAATATCTTCTCACAATATTTGCACTTGAAAGGGTTTCTCTCCAGCGTGCGTTCTTTTTTCTTTCTTTTTTTCTCATTTTTTCCCCTTTTGTTTCCCTTTTTTTTTTGGTTTGTTTTTTGGGCCGCCCAAGGGGGGGGGGGGTTAAACCCCCTAAACCCCCCCCCCCCCCCGCAGATCCGCGCCTGTTTAATCTTGTGGTTATCTTGTGGTTTCCAAACCACAAGATAACCACAAAATACTTGTAAGATTTTCTTTTTTACCGTCTGAATTGGCTTTCACCGTGTGAATGCGGCTAATAACAATAAACACAATTACAATAATGAATAGGAATATTATTATCATCATCATTATTATTATTATTATTAATATCATAATTGTTATCATTATTATTATTACTATTATTATCATCATTATGACTTATTAAGTAAGCAAATATCATTCCCCAAAACCTGGGGGGATGATTGTACATGCCATCCCCCCCCCCCCCACCTTGTGAGGTGGGGGGGGGATGCATCCCCCTCATCCCCCCGTTGTCTACGCCCCTGCTTCACGATGATGAGGATCAAATCGTCACTAAGATCTCGTCACTTTGTGAAGAAATTGTGACGAAGACCGAATTTAGTGCGATCACTCTAACAAGCAGCATTCATGGTTATCCGGAGGCATCATTTTTTTCTGCGGCACAGATTGGGTTTTTTTTTTTTTTTTTTTTTAAAGAGGTCTTGATTTAACCCTAACCCTAACCCTAACCCTAAACTTTCCCATAGGCTCAACACGTACTTAACCCCAATCTGTGCCGCAGAAAAAAAGAACGCCACCCGGAGACACATAGCCGGCGAAAGGCGGTCGACGCTGTTAACGTACAGCTGAAACTTCTGACCAATGAGAGAGGTTGGAAGTTGATTGACAACAGCGCCATCTATCCCGATATCCACCTACAGGCCGATGGTGTACACCTCAGCGGAAGTGGAGTTGTCGAACTTGCGAAAAACATCATACACCACCTACGTCTAAACTCATCGCAACTAGTTGATCATCAATTCCCAGCTTATCGCGGAACCAGCCGTCAGCGGAGAGCAATTCCAGGAAAATGCCAGAGCAATATCGCAAACATTGTTAACCCTAAGAAAAACCCAGTTTATAGCAACATTTTCTTCAACATTATCTCCGTCCTGTTACTCGTGGCATCGCCAAGAAAGTATCGCCTTTCCATAAGATGTTCGGCAACCTATAGGAGAGGGGCAACCCTTCATTTTGCAATCGTTTGCGTCCCGATCCGATTTTTTTTCTCTTCGCCAGTGCCAGAGAATTAAATGTCGGAAGCACTATATACCCTAATAAAACCTTGTTGATAGCACATTTTTTCATGAGCGAACCCCCCTGACCCTTCACTTATTGCAGGTAATAATTCCCTCAAAAAGTATTGCCTTGCCATGGAAGATTCTTCAACGAGTTGGAGAGAGTGAGCCCTAAATTTCCAATAGTTTAAGTCCCGACCCCATAAATGTAACTTGGTAAAGCCTCATAGTAGTGGGTTTTCATGGGGAATATAATACCATTCTGGAGTTTACCCAATACCAGGCATTATCAGTCACCGAAAGTGGACTTGATTTTCATGACAGACAAGTCTTGTGTAATGCACTGTGCTCTAGTCTACCGCTGTATGGATCTCTCATTATAAATATCAAATTTCCTCGCCCTCGAGATAGGCAAGTTTGAATATTTTCTGGTATAGGACCGCGGGTTCGCTGTATTTGAGATACACATACACACAGACAGGGGGAGGGCGGGGTCATTTGGGCCTGAATTAAGTAGGCGGTTCGTCATTAGTGTAACAAAATAAAGTTATTTGATATATGAGACTGTTTTTTTATTCTTTCTCTCTTCTTTCCTAAATTTCTTTCTCCATTTTAAAATTGTAGGTTTATCCATCTGTATAGAATGTGATCAAAGACTTTTTAATTTAGGTTCTCCCTAATGCATCATGTTTATAACAGAGCCTATACGCTAGTCACTTGCAAAAGAGGTTTCATCTCTGTGATTGGTATTAAAAAAAAAAAAAGTGTATTGCTACATATCACTCAACGGATGTAGAGGTGGTCAGTGAACAAGAGCCATAAGATATGAACTTTGATGATGTTTGTATTCATAGGTCTATATAGCATCACTCGGGTAAAGGTATCTTTTGTTAGATACCATTGGGTTTTCATATTATATATATACATATCCTGCCCCCCCCCCCCCCTCCAGGATCGGAATGACCGCATGCGTGTTGCCAAAATGTCCGGTAAAGGGGTACTTTTCGTGCAACAAAGTCCGGCCCGAGAATTGTAAAAAAAGGGGTGTATTTGACTGTTCACCCGGAGATTTCTTTAAAAAAGGGGGTGTTTTTCTTTTTTTTTTCCTCTCATCTCTTTGGACTCCTGAGAAGTTATTACGAATTTAGGGGGGTACATTGAGCATTTTTCCGTATTTAGGGGAGTCTTCAAGGCAGGAAGAGCCCGCGAAAGGGGGGTTCGGAAATGTTGGCAGTCCTCAGATAGAGGGTGCTTTCAAAAAGAGGGAACGAGCATACGCGTACCCTAAATCACGGATGGCCAACCTTTTAAAGCTCGCTGGCCACAGCTAACGATTAGCATAACTTGGCGGGCCGTAGCTAGTCTCCCCCCTCCCCCCCACACACACTCATGCAATACGTGTACACACCTGAAATTCTGCAAAAACAAACAAACAAACAACAAGATCAGTGAGAAAAACAAATTAAGGCTTATATTTAGTGTGATTTCTGTGGCTTGCACTTTTCTACTATGTTGTTAACCTCCATTACATACTCTGGTGAAAATGAGGTAAAGTGGTCCACCTTTCTCTTCTATGAAGAAATACTTTAGAGACCAATCTGATTTAAAGTTTCTGCCTTCATCAGAAACTCTCCTTTTCTTCGCAGGTCTCGAGGTCGTTGCCATGTTGGTTGTTATTTCAATCAAAATCAAGGACACGGCAGAAAGAATATCCTAAATGTATTACTTGTACACTGTACATCTAATTGAACGCGGTGTAGAGGGAAGGGGACTGACTATAAAGTTTACGATTAAGATTCATGAGAAAATTGTACGGCGGGAGAAAAGAGTTGTAAGTTTGAAAACAAGTATGGCATTTCAAACATTATTTCTCGATTCACAACAGTTGTTACTGCGTGCGGAAATTACAAACTGAAATTTACACGGCGAGTGATATTAATGCGGGTATTAATGTCATTAATATAATATAATGAGAGGGAATTTGAGGAGTCAGTGTATCACAACAGTTGTTACTGCGTGCGGAAATTAGAAACTGAAATTTACACGGCGAGTGATATTAATGCGGGTATTAATGTCGTTAATATAATGTAATGAGAGGGAATTTGAGGAGTCAGTGTATCACCAAGTAACGAGTCAAAGCGTTGTGAAAGATGAAAATAATCAAATTATGGACATATTAGAGATAGCTGCGTTTTGCCCTACTTTATCGCTGCTATAATGTGGCATATTATGCTATATGTGGCTGCATTTCATTTATTAAGTATTTTTTCACTGCTCCGCGGGCCGCACCAGAAGAGCTCGCGGGTTGGCCACCCGTGCCCTAAATAACACTGAGTGGGGGGGGGGGGGGATACATATTGTCAAATTCAGACAGCAAGGTGCCCGAATATTGTCACATTCGGACAGCAAGGTGCCCGAATATTGTCACATTCGGACAGCAAGGTGCCTGAATATTGTCAAATTCGGAAAGCAAGGTGCCTGAATATTGTCAAATTCGGAAAGCAAGGTGCCTGAATATTGTCAAATTCGGACAGCAAGGTGCCTGAATATTGTCAAATCGGAAAGCAAGGGGCCCGAGTATTGTTAAATTTGGACAGCAAGGTGGCTGAATATTGTCGCATTCGGACAGCAAGGTGCCCGAAAATTTGGACAGCAAGGTGCCTGAATATTGTCACATTCGGACAGCAAGGTGCCCGAATATTGTCACATTCGGACAGCAAGGTGCCTGAATATTGTCAAATTCAGACAGCAAGGGGCCCGAATATTGTCAAATTCGGACAGCAAGGTGTCTGAATATTGTCACATTCGGACAGCAAGGTGCCCGAATATTGTCACATTCGGACAGCAAGGTGTCTGAATATTGTCACATTCGGACAGCAAGGTGCCTGAATATTGTCACATTCGGACAGCAAGGTGTCTGAATATTGTCAAATTTGAACAGCAAGGTGCCCGAATATTGTCAAATTCGGATAGAAAGGTGCCCGAATATTGTCAAATTCGGACAGCAAGGTGCCTGAATATTGTCAAATTCGGACAGCAAGGTGTCTGAATATTGTCAAATTCGGACAGCAAGGTGCCTGAATATTGTCAAATTCGGACAGCAAGGTGTCTGAATATTGTTAAATTCGGACAGCAAGGTGCCCGAATAATCGTAAATGTTTATTAGCCTGCGAAACTCTATAATGTATGTAATTGTGGATTATTCAACTTGATATAATATATTAACATATCTGACATGTAAAGAGACTGAGAGGGGGTGCTTCAACTCACATTCTTAGGTGTGCTTTATATCAATAGAATCTCTGACAAACAACCAGCAACAACAACAACAACAACAACAAAACCGGCCAAAAAAAGACGTAAAAGAAAGAGTGAATGAAAGACAGAAAGAATAACTTAGGACAATAAAGTAAATAATGAAAATGATAAATGACAATACATGATGAAATAACTAGTAATGAATGAATGATAACGCATAAAATAATAATTATATCTGCTATTAAACGACGGTGACTCCCAGTGCATCAGCCAGCTATTCAAGGCCACACCTGGTGTATTGGTGCGATGATGTGCTATTGAACTTTAAATGAGAACAGTGCGCACATAAACGACACAGCCGAATCGCCATATTTCTACCAGTTGCGCATTCATTGTGAGCTCTCGCACGTAGTATTCGGATTTATCCTACTTTTCACTCAAGAAAACGGTGAGTTATTCTGCATATATCATAGGTATGGCGTATTTCTTACTAACTTCATGTTTTATAACGTGTGTTTAAAGGGTTCATTGAAATTGAAGACAGTTTCTGAGATTGGAATACATTTCTTCATACATGTACAGCGTGATTTTGAAAGGTGTCATTTCACTGTAGAGTACAGCTTGTTCTATCAACCGTGAACGTATTTATAGGTAAATTACATGTACGGTAACCGTTTAATACTCAATCTGAAATATTCTTTCTTAGCTCAATGTTTAATATTAGCATACATCAGTAGTAATAAATGTTAATGATAAAGTTTTGAAATAATGTTTAGAGACAGATAGAAGCAACCCATTATTTGGTGACCTTTTATTACACCTGGTTCAAGATGGACAAATATGGGAAGAAACCCTTCTGTCAAAGAATGTTAGCACCTATCGAACCCAGGATCTTTCACATTATGAATACAACAGTTCTACGAATTTTAACCTTATGTTATTTCATCTGTTTGTATTATTTTAATTTTGTATCTATTTTTTAAATTCATGGTAAATATTGCCAGATCAAGATGGAGGCTTATCCAAACAACGCACCTATAACTATCCAGCCAACCATCCCGGCCTCTCAGACTATCATACAGGTAGGTTTTCAATCATCACTCTTTCTCCTTAAAGGGGAAGCCCACCCTTATTATTAACTCTTGTCATGCCACAGGGCTAATCCCCATTGTGCCAAGCCCCAAATCACGGAGTGCCAAGTTTATATTGGGATAATCTGATTAACGCGACGGTTAAATGAATAGCAAGTGCAAAACACATAGCACAGTCCAATGGGCATGAACAACTGCTACTACAAAAGTGTGCACGCACGCACATGGCAGCGTACCAATAGCTTGCTCGAATGTACAAAGCACTATAACGATAGTGTGCATGCAACCTCATGGCAGGCTATGAGTTAAGGTGGTTCTCCATGAAGTATCTCACGAGCTCCTCTCCAATTTGTTCTGTACATGAAATGTCATGAACTCTCATGTTCAGAGTTATTGATGAAGGACTAGGTTTGTTCTATAACAGGGGTTGAATAAAAAAAATATTTTCAACAATTACTCTTTAGGGTGCATTTATGATTGACAAAACATTTCAGGGCAAAAATATACATTTCTGAATATTTGGTGCAAACGGGAGATACGTCACAGAGCTGCCAATTTGTGTCTGATTGATCGGAATTTCAACAGTTTTTATTTTGTTTTTATCGGATTTTACTCAAACTTCACTGGCATGTTCCCCCATTTTCTGCTTCTATTAAAAACCACTTGGTATCAGAGTGGACTTCCCCTTAAAAACACGCAATATAGAACATAAACTTATTATGTAGCAGAACAACCATTTTTTCAGGCATACAGGATACCAATATAGTCGGTTGTTATTAGTGTTTTACAGGCCATCCGCTTGTTACGTATCATTATCTATTATTCTATTTTATAGAAAGCCACACATATTCCTCAATCTGGGATGCTTCAAATAATGAATATTTAAAACCTCAGTCGATGATGATGATATGGCGGTAGTGGTGGTGGTGGTGATGATAATGATGGTGATGATGATGATGATGATAATGATGGTGATGATGATGATGATGATGATGATACTGATAATAATAAATATGATAATGATGTTTATGGTAAATGATATTGATCAGAATGATGCTGAAAATGATGCTGAAGATGTTATAGAAAGGGTAAATTGGAATGGTAATTAGAACTTGACCAAGAATAGTTCTCATATCTAAGAGTCGGTATAGCTAAGTGGATAGACTTGTCTCCACCACCACGTGCTCACAGTATGATGACACCCACTACTGTTGACACCTATTACATAACAGAGGCTTTCAGTTTCAGTTAGCATTGTTCACTCGAGAAAGATCATGTTAAGTGTTGGTGTTTTATCATCATCTTTATTATTCGACATTGCATGTGTCTCTGTTTACAGAGCCCTAAAGGATAATAGTTGCAAAATCACTGCCTGGGTAAACCTAGTGGAAACAAACAATTAAAATGAATAGTAGAAGTGTCGTAATGGAGTGGTTTAAGCACTTGACTTGAAATTCAAAAGTCGTGGTTCGATACCATGCTAGTATACATTAGAAACGCTGTCGTATTAACGATGACTGACAATACCATGATGGATACCATGCTAGTATCTTCCTGCCCATCTACATAGTGATGCTAACTGCACATCCCCATGGTGATGCTATCTGCTCATCCCCATGGTGATGCTATCTGCCTATCCCCATGGTGATGCTATCTGCTCATCACCATGGTGATGCTATCTGCTCATCCCCATGGTGATGCTATCTGCTCATCCCCATGGTGATGCTATCTGCTCATCCCCATGGTGATGCTATCTGCTCATCCCCATGGTGATGCTATCTGCCCATCCCCATGGTGATGCTATCTGCCCATCCCCATGGTGATGCTATCTGCTCATCCCCATGGTGATGCTATCTGCTCATCCCCATGGTGATGCTATCTGCCCATCCCCATGGTGATGCTATCTGCCCATCCCCATGGTGATGCTATCTGCTCATCCCCATGGTGATGCTACCTGCCCATCCCCATGGTGATGCTAAGTAGATGAAATGTAACGCGCTTCGGCCTCGTATTAAGAATTACTCAACAAATGTTAAATTCAAAATAATAATAAAGTTGGTAGCACGAGACTTCCCAAATAGTTTTTCATTTTGAAAAGAGCAATTTGCTGGCTGCCCCTATTATCAAATACATTTTCTCTCTAACGCTTAAGTTTATTTGTTCGACTAGTCTCAGGTGTTTGGTCATTAGGTTTCCTATACGTTCACATGAATAATTGAATTATACAACAAAAATTACATCAGAAATATCCTGTACTCTGATTCCAGCTCGCGTAGGGCTATCGACATGATACAATCATCAGAGATGCTAAACTCTAGGTAACGAATGAGACAAAATACAATTCCTAGTCAAAGAAAGAGAGCTTAATGATTGAAGTAAAAATATTTCAAACGGGTTTCAGAGTACGCAAAAACATTCATGTATACATATATCTTTATGTTTATTTAATGTGTGCGCAAGCGCGCCGGAAGCTGTTTGGGATGGGGGGGGGGGGGATAGAACCCCAGAGCCCCGCTGTACTGCAGGCCCCGACATGAAGGCTTCTTTAAATATAGGGTCATGCGGAATGTTTAGGAAATTTAATCCTGTTTACTTTCCTTTTCTTCGAATGGAATATATATGTGATTCAGTTAAGGTTTTATTATTTTAATTTTCTATCTTTCCGCATAATATTTGTTGATAACTGTTTATTAGTTGATTAACCAACCCCTTCTCTCTCTCTCTCTCTCTCTCTCTCACTCTCTTTCTCTCTCTTTCTTTCTCTCTCCCTGTCTCTTTTTCTCACTCGTACTATTTTTCTATTTAGGCTATATCACCCTTCCTCCCCCTTTCTTTTTCTATCTCTCTATTCTCCCTTCTCCCCTTTTTACACACACCCTCTTGCCTTGTAATACAGGAAGCTAAACAATTTATGAAAAAGAAAGACGAAAAGTACTTCAAACAGTAGCTTTCACGATAAATACACATAGCCTAGACTCCAATTTACGTCAAACCTAATACCTCAGCGAGACCGCTACAACACCTCCAAAACGGTTTCGTTTTTTCTACTTCCGTAATAGAAATTCATGATCGGTGTCTTGTCGTTCTGGCATCGGAGTCCTCGGTGTGACAGGAGTACAACAATATATTATGAAAACACTGAAAATCAATATCCATTCAAGTAGGTGTGCATAGTGTCTGGGAGTAGTAGATTGTATCGGACTAGTTATTACGAGAAAATGAAATACATTTCATGTTTTTCATTTTTCCAATTACCTAGTGCACTCTAAAAACATAAAAAGGTTAAATCACCATTTAAAACGGCCGAGGAGTGACCACTGGATGCTAGGATTAAACCTCAATAGTGTCAAATCCAGTTTTATCAAAATGTCAATCGATCACTTTTTGAAAAAGGGGCCACTGCTCAGGCCCTTTCATACTAGTTTTTCATAGTGTGTACAATATTATTATTTTTTTCGTTCATCAATTTAATTTATTTACTTATTTGTTTATTTTATTCATTTATCAAGTATTACCTGTATTGTTATCATTATTGCTATTGTCATCATCATCAGCAAAGATTTAATGATCCGTCGCTATGTTTATAATCACTAAATGCTGGTCCCTTTTCCCCGAAAGTTTCATACTTTGTTTTACAACTTGCGCATTTGCAAAACTATGCTAATATATGGACTTGTCCACCGTGCGTTTTAGGGTAAAAAATTACACATGAATAATATCTTAAATCTCCTTTACAATGAGATATAAGTCACTTTTATTGAGTAATACGTTCAAGCAAATATTACAAGTCAGGCTTATCGTGTGTATGTGTGCGTGTTTTGCGCGCGCGCGTGTGTGTGTGCGTGTGTGTCTATGGGTAGAAATGTATGTGTTTAAGAATTAGTGATGAGTCTTGTGGTCTTTAACTGCACTTCTAATTCAATTTGTCATCTATTTACTTCGTGTACGTATATGATTTGGTATTGTTCAAGGGGGTTACCTAGGTAGTAGTTTCTGTTATCCCACAACTTATTTAAATTTTTATTATTTATTTATTTATATATGTCTGATATTTAGACAGGGTGACACCAATAACGATGGTCTTCCATGCATGAGGTCCTGTTAAACATATTGAAATACATTAGAGTTTAACAAATATAATAATAATATTAATAACAAAAACAAATTATGCCCATGGCTGACCTAAAAAAGGTGACCTTACCCCCCCCCCCCCCCCCCCCCCCCAACGAAAAAAAAAATCAAATATCCAAATTTCGAGACCCCCAAAAAATGTTGGTGTTATATCATCATCTTTATTATTCGACATTGCATGTGTTTATGTTTGCAGAGTCCTAAAGGAAAACAGTTGCAAAATCACTGACTAGGTTAAACCTAGTGGGAAAAAAAATTAAAATAAATAGTAGAAGTGTCGTAATGGAGTGGTTTAAGCACTTGACGTGAAATTCAGAGGTCGTGGTTCGATCCCCGATACGGCACCAATATCCTTTGGCAAGGCATTAATCTTCATTTGCCATACTCGACGCAGATGAGGTACATGGCAGGAATTCCATGAAATGTTGGAGCGCTGTAATGGCAGCTAGGCTAAAGCCGGGGTAATAATTAATGCGCCCTCGGAATAGAATTTCTAGATAGATGGCGCTATAGAAATGCCTATAATTATGTTTATTATTATGGTTAACATCTGATATAAAAATATATATACTTTTTTTAAGTGAGGGGGGGGGGGGGGGGGCTAGAGCCCCAGAGCCCGCTGTACTGCAGGCCCCGACATGAAGGCTTCTAAATGAGCATATTTCTTTGCCTGACTGTAAATTTTGGAATTTGTAATTTTACAACAAACGCATAAAAAAAGGTATACTTTACCAACAAATTGAGAAAAAAAATCACGGAAAATCAAGTCATTTCTGCAACATTTAGAAATCACTGGTATCGAATTAAAAATAAACCACATTTGAATGTTTTCTGCCACCCTTTAAATATAGGGTCATGCGGAACGTTTAGGAAATTTAATCCTGTTTACTTTCCTTTTCTTCGAATGGAATATATATGTGATTCAGTTAAGGTTTTATTATTTTAATTTTCTTTCTTTCCGCATAATATTTGTTGATAACTGTATATTGGTTGATTAACCAACCCCTTCTCTTTCTCTCTCTCTCTCTCACTCTCTTTCTCTCTCTTTCTTTCTCTCTCCCTGTCTCTTTTTCTCACTCGTACTGTTTTTCTATTTAGGCTATATCACCCTTCCTCCCCCTTTCTTTTTCTATCTCTCTATTCTCCCTTCTCCCCTTTTTACACGCACCCTCTTGCCTTGTAATACAGGAAGCTAAACAATTTATGAAAAAGAAAGACGAAAAGTACTTCAGATAGTAGCTCCCACGATAAATACACATAGTCTAGACTCCAATTGACGTCAAACCTAATATCTCAGCCACACCGCTACAACGCCTCCAAAACGATTTCTTTTTTTTTCTATTCGCCTTAATAGAAATTCATGATTGGTGTCTTGTCGTTCTGGCATCGGAGCTCGGTGTGACAGGGGTACAACAATATATTATGAAAACACTGAAAAATCACTATCCATTTAAGTAGGTGTGCATAGTGTCTGGGTAGTAGGAGATTGTATCGTACTAGTTATTATGAGAAATGAAATACATTTCATGTTTTTCATTTCTCCAATTACCTAGTGCACTCTAAAAACATAAAAGGTTAAATCACCATTTAAAACGGCAGAGGAGTGACCACTTATTCCAAATGTCAGATTGAAAATATCAGGATGCTAAGATTCAACCTCTATAATGTCAAATCCAGTATTATCAAAATGTCAATCGAGTACTTTTTGAAAAAGGGGTCACTGCTCAGCCCTTTCATACTTTCATTAGGTGAGCTATAGCATCTTAGTTTTTCATAGTGTGTACAATATTATTATTTTTTTCGTTTATTTATTTAATTTATTTGTTTATTTTATTCATTTATCAAGTATTACCTTTAATGTTGTTATTATTGTTATTATTATCATTATTGCTATTGTCATCATCATCAGCAAACATTTAATGATCCGTCGCTATGTTTATAATCACTAAACGCTGGTCCCTTTTCCCCGAAAGTTTCATACTTTGTTTTACAACTGGTGCATTTGCAAAACTATGCTAATATATGGACTTGTCCACCGTGCGTTTTAGGGTAAAAGATTACACATGAATAATATCTGAAATCTCCTTTACAGTGAAATATAAGTCACTTTTATTGAGTAATACATTCAAGCAAATATTACAAGTCAGGCTTATCGTGTGTATGTGTGCGTGCTTTGCGCGCGCACGCGTGTGTGTGCGTGTGTGTATGTGTGTGTGCGTTGTGTTTGCGTTTATGTGTGTAGGGTTGTGTGAGTGTGCTTATGTGTCTAAGTAAAGAAATGTATGTGTTTAAAGGAAAAGTCCACTCGAAAAATGACTTACTTGCAATAAAAGCAGAAAAACCAATCAAAAAAAATTTTGAGCAAAATCGGTGAACCGGTGTGTTGGCTCAGTCAGTAGAACGTCCGCCTCACAACCGGGAGGTCGTGGGTTCGAACCCCGGCCGCGTCATACCGAAAGACGTTAAAAGACCGGAGTTGCTGCTACCTCGTTTGGCGTTCAACAATCAAACTATGGAGCAATGAGAATCACAACACAAATTGCCAAGATGGTTATCAGTTTGTGACGTCATGTCCTCACTATTTAGCAATTGCTCTATATGGTTTAATCCCATTAATTTCTTTTTATTCCCCAAAACTTGATTTCCCCATGCCTTTGCCCAGGTTATATGATATGTATCATATTGCAGGCATGACATTTCACAAAATCTTTTATGAACTTTGAAAAATGTATACTATTTTCTGAATATTCTATATTCATAATTATTGATTTTTATATAAATAGTTTTTATCAAAATCCACATTTTTCATGATTTAACTGGAAAAAATTACTCTATATTATTGCATCCACACAAAAACATATTACTATTAATCTAACTTGGATGCTGGTGTGAAGAAATAAGATTCTTAAGGAGAAAATAGGAATTTTTATCATTAATATAAAGAAAATAATTAGTGGATAGTGAGGACATGACATCACAGACTCATGAGTGAGTTGCCAATTTGTCTAGTGATTTTCAAAGTTTTTAATGTCATTACAAATTCATAACTTCCTTATTAGTTATCCGATTTTGCTCAGACTATTTTTGATCGATTAGTCTGCTTTTTCTGTTTCTATTGAAAGTAAGTTATTTTTAGAGTGGACTTGGGCTTTAAGATATAGTGAGAGACTTGTGGTTTTTAACTGCAATTCTAATTCAATTTGTCATATATTTACTTTGTGTACGTATATGATTTGATATTGTTCAAGGGGGTAACCTAGGTAGATATAGTTTCTGTTATCCCACAACTTATTTATTTATTTATTTATTTATTTATTTCTGATATTTAGACAGGGTGACTTATTATCACCAATAACGGTCGTCTTCCATGAGGCCCTGTTAACCATAATGAGGTATATTATAGTTTAACAAATATATAATAATATTAATAACAAAATCTTTAACATACATTCTTTTACAGCAATGAACAATAAATAAGAACATGTATAAACACATATACAAAGTATTTGTATCCTCGTAATAAAAGAATGGTTTGTTTGTTTTGTTTTGCTTTGCTTTTTCGTTCAAAAAAACGTTGTTGCTTAAATATTATATTTTTATTTAACATTATAGCATAGACAGTAATTAGTTTTTTAATCCGATGAAAAGTAACTATTAGAATATTTCGGTAAGTATTAGACCTTGAAAAAAAGGCAACATATACTTTGAGAGTTCAATTGTTATATACATATTTACAACAACAAAAAATATTACAGGATAGTAAATTACTGAATAATATGAACAATTAATGCATGTAATCTAGTGTAGCAATTTAATGTACACTCTTAAATAACATTAAAATACAAATGTATTTATAACTGATAATAAATTATATGAAATCATTCTTTAAGTTTGAAAAGCATTATATCGTCCTACATTCAGTGCTATAGGAAAACAGACACTAAACAAAATTCCTCTTGTCATTTTATCTTATTGGGAATCGATAATGCAAGATTGTTTGACATGTATTTAAAGGTGTTCACAGAGCTTGCCATTCGCAATGATCTGTTCAACTGATTCCATGCTATAATTGAAGAAACGAGGGGGCTATGTTTAAAGCATTCTGTTTTATATTTTGGCACAGAAAGTAAACCTTCAACTGCCTGCCTTGTATTATGCTGATGAATGTCACTTACTTTAATTAACCTTTCTTGTAAATAGGATGGCGCCAAATGATGTGTGCATTTGTACATCACATTTACACTCTGAAATTAAAAACGTTTCTCAATTGGCATCCACTTCAGATTGCTAATCGATTCACTGGATGGAGTCTCGTATCATTTTGTACACTTCCATGTCATGTTTTGTGGAAATGAATTCAATCCAAATTCAAATGAATTCATTGTTACGTAGGTGAATCAAGTGACTGGGACTCCCATGATGCCTCGCGGCCCACCTCGTGAATGGACGACCGATGTATGCGCATGCTGTGATGATATGACCATCTGTAAGTCAATGGCGTTAGCTTAAATCGACAGTACAATCCAGGGCCCCGTCTTATAGACAATTCAATTCATATCAATTAATTTATTCACTCAATATATAAAAGACAGAGAGAGACACACAGAGAGGGAGAGGAACGAAATTGAGGGAGAGAATTAAAGGCAAGATGAGAAGTAAAGTTAATACATAGGATGAAATTAGTAGACCCAAGCAGAATAATAATTAAAAATCCCATACAAACCAAAGATATAACAATTAATATTGAAATAAACAACAAACAACAGATAACTCAAACGAATAATATTGTAAAAGCCTTTCTTTGTATTGTCTCTTAAAAACGTTATGAGAGAGACAGTTGCCATTAATCGCAACCATGTACATAAGAGATGCATAAGATTGCGATTGATTAGAGGACTAGAGATCGATTTGGATGAATCACAACTCTTTATAACATTGGGCCCTGGTGTAAAACTGTCAGTATTTATGTTTCTTAGATTAACTAATATTCATTATATTAAATGCAAATTATCTATTTTGTATATACCTTTTTTTTATTTCATATAAATGCATTATACTATGGAACATGTTATTTTGAAATGAAATGTGATGTAATCTTTATTTGATTGTAAATTGTCATGTAATTCAGCTAAGACTGCGATATGATAATAAACCAAACTGAACTGAACTGGAAAAGGTGTAGGGGGAAGTGGGGCAATTAATTACAAAAATAGTCTTCATGTTGACCATTATTCGACTATTCATCTTCCTTGTTTCCATACTCTTTTGGGTCAGGGGAGGCTGCACATTACAAAAGTTCGATACAAGTCAGATGAAATACAACTATGAATACTAATGATGATTCGATAAATTCACCTTGAAAACGAATGCAGTATGATTTCTTATTACACCTACGGTAATTTTAATTCATATTGAAGAATGAAAAACATTAACTTAATATAAATCGTTTAAGTACAACACATACAAAATTTCTTGCATCCAGATTTGTGTATAGGATTTAAAGTAGAGATTTTTGTATAGGATTTAAAGTAGAGTCTAACGAACAAGCTACTCTTATTTTGATTTCTTTTGACTACCTACTAAATGACTGATCATGCTTTATCCAGGTCTGTGTACCATTTTCGTGCCATGTTACCCTTGCATGCTGGCAGCTGACATGAATGAATCCTGCTGTGTGCCAATGTGCATCCCAAATGCTGGCATTTCTATGCGTGCAGTCGTACGTTCACGCCACAACATCAGTGTAAGTTATCTCCTTTCCTGTAAACTTTTTCTCCTGAAGCTCTTTCCCCGTTACACTGGTAACTTCTTGGTCGAACCGACCACAGCGCCTATACCCGATACGATCCTGCACTTTCATACAGCACACACTCTCCACTCCCTTAGGAAGCATTCTAGCCAGGGGCCCGGTTTAAGCGCGCGCACATGCTAATTCAAATTTATTTCCCCCATCTTTTCCCCTTTCTCCATGGGATGGGTACATTTATTTATGGAGAGTACTAAGAGTATGTATGTATCCATGATATATATTTGACAATTCAATTGGTATGCTTAAATATGATATAATTATAAAATCATGAGAAGTTTATCTCCATATGTGTACGTTTAAATGTGTTGAAGGATTAAATATTGAACGATAAATGGTTCCATACTTTATCACGTGCAATAAGCATGACATTTGTTTTTGAAATATTTATTTTTAAAACGATTTTCATAATACCAATTATTAATATAATCAATACAAGTTTGTAATCTCCGTTCTTATTCAGCCATTTGAACCAGAAAGATATACTTTGACCTCGTCAGCAAATGTGTTAAAGCTTCCACTAGAACACTTTGAGCAATATCATTTAAAAAAATTGAAGAAATATGGTCCTAAAACCTACAGTTAACTTTTGTTTAGATTGTATTCCATGACATCGACAAATTTGCCTTCTCTTTGAAAGATAACTTTACCAGTCATCAACAACACGGTGGAAGCATGTGACCGTTGAATGACGTTTAAAAAAAAACCCAGATTGATCGACAGCTATCATATTATTAACAATATAGAAAAATAATATTTATGAAAGTTAGTCTGAATAATCCTTTCCATAATTTGTGCGACATCAACATTGGTATAAAGTTGGAGCATACATCTTTTGAACCCCCACCATTATAAATTGGTGTTACTCACGAACATTTCCAGTCATCTATTACGATTCCAAATTTAATCGAATAATTGAACAATATGGTTAGTGATTTTTAAATACATGATGCTCCAATTTTGAGCAATTTCGAATCAATATCTAAATTACTATCAGGACCAAAACTGTAAAATAGTTCCAAAACATCATTCTCCTGGAGAGTTCCCATTTTAAATTCAAAAACACATTTAGGATTTTTCCATTGAGGAGATATAGGCTCGAATGTGTCTGAAATTATATATCCAGCATCTGTCAAAAAAAATTCCGGAGATAGTTCATTATCCGCTGAGTTATCGTTTTTCATATTTCCAATAGCCATATTTATTTTTTCCATAGGTTTTTCTAATCATTTGTTATACTTTGTTTCAACCTCAGAAAAGTACTTTCTTTTAACTTCACAAATCACATTATTAACTGAACTTCTAACCTCATAATAATCATCTTTAAACTCTTCATTAGCTTCAGCCTGGTCCTTTAAGTGTAGTCCCGTTGATACATGTAATCAAGAATATCATTATTCATCCAAGGACTATAATAACCCGAAATTGCTTTATCGGAGCAGGTTTATTACACATAATTATTTTTTAAATACCCATAAATCTTCTACAAACTGACTAGAATCATTATCTTCTAGTTTTTTAATATCACAATTATGGTAAACCTATGTGATCGTTAATAAAGAGTGCAATTATACTCTGGCATTCCCTATCAATGGAAGCATTATTTGGAGCACATAATAATTTATATAGAACAGCGAAATGAAACTCATATTACCATTGCTGGTGATTGGCATTCTTCAATCGACGTTTGTTTGATGTTTCATTTTTGTTCTTCTCGTTTATGCTTTCAGTTTTGGTTTAAAACATAGAAGGCCCAAATGAAGGTCCAACTAAATTGATATTACCCCAATGCATATTGGAACCGGATGGACCATATATTAAGCCTATAACAATGAAAGAACTCGGTATCAAATGTGTTAAAAATGTTCTCATGATACATTCCCCCCTCCAGGGCAACCTGATGAATGACTGTGTGGCCATGTCCTGTTGTGGATTCTGCGCTACATGCCAGCTTGCTCGTGAAGTACAGATGATCAAGAGCGGGCGTGCCATCCCATAAATGACCATTGTGACGTCACAATCACTTCATGAGCAGTAGTTGATTCGAATTAATTGGAAGTTATTTAGTGATAAATATAACATTTCCTTTCTTTGGTTTAAATCACACAATTCAAATTCTCTTTGAAAATCTTAATTAAATAAATTTAAAAAAAAATAAAAAAATAAGACGGGGCACAGATTAAGTAAGGCAAAATCCCCGCGCTTGAATTGAACTTTACTAGATATCGAATCATGATTGCACATTGAATATAAAAGAAGATAATCATTGCGTATGGTAATATTATGAATGATGTATTCTTGATATATAGTAGTCGCGCAAAATCGTGGTGTGAATCACTTTATAAAAGCGATAATATATCCTTCACAATTCCCAGCCCATATCTTTCTTCTGTTCAAGGCCTTGTTGTATTGATACAATCATTGGAATGCTGGACGTTTTTAAACCTAGTCATGATCATTCATGTATCATGTCGTCGCACAGTGTGGCACTCTTTTTTTTCCTCTTTTTTTTTTAAAGGGCAAAGTACAAAAATGTTTTTACTCTTCAGTGTTGTAGTGAATCCTATCGCATTTTACATAAGTGTAGCGTTTAGAAAAAAGAGGCTTCATTTGTAGATGCTTCAAAATGATTATAAGAAGGAAAATTGGGATATCAGATACAAAGATGCTAACAATAGTTCAAACTAATTTGTGTGAAGTATCTGATTAACACTGGAATTGTTGTTATACGATGTAAGAATGTAATTTTTGTATTTTAGTGCTTGTTTCTTTCAAGAGCTTTCAATTTATGTTACTTAGCATTAAGTATACTGTTACAAGCGTAGTGTATGGGTGACTGTGTACATAGTAATGTACATTAGAGAGAAATTCAATATCTTTAGATTTACATCTTCAATTGTGATGAGCCGGAAAAAGATTCTAGCTCTTATCCAAGTCATTCTATAGACATGGGTTACCCCCCCCCCCCCAAATGTTATATGCGTGATCATGATGATCACAGATAGGTAATCCACTTTAAACTGAAGAGATTTATTTAGACTTTTATTTTGTATGGGTAGAGTGGTTTGTGTATTTGTTTATTTTGTTAAAGGTATGCTGAGTAAGAGATCTACTATTCACTTCATGTACTTCAAGATAATTACTATTCAAGAGGTCTGCTTAGTTGCAAAAGTGGTGTATAGGCCATTTTCTTAATGTAACCGAATTTATGGATATATTTTGTGAAGCACGTCGGTACGAACTATTTCATCCACCTGTTACGAATAGATGTATATCAATAGTCAGAATTTAAATTGCATGTATTAAGTGTTGCTACGTAGGACAAATATGGATTACCCTAACTAGGAATATATGCAGTTTGCATTCTGACTATTGAAATACAATCATTCGTAATAGGAGAAGGAAATAACCGTACTGAGGCACTTAACTATAATGTAATTACATTACGGAAATAACATATTCGCAAAACAGTTTTGGAATGCTCTGGACTATCCTTTCTTACATGTAGAATGTACTACAATTGATTTTGAATGGGTTTTTCCTTGCACTTTCGCATAAAGTTGAAGTTAGTTCATGTACGTATATTTTGTAATACATTTCTGAAATATGATATAGAGAGGCTTCTTTTTTATTTAGATTATAATAAAACACTAATGAGTTAGCCGGCGTATTGGCAACATATCTCTTTCTGTACAGTAATATGCGAGTAACCTTTTAAATATAGTTTTAAATTGTTAGCTGTGGAAGAGAGAATGGAATGGAAGAGAATAAAATATGAGTATTTATTACAGAATGTACAGACAAAGCGGAACGTTTAAAGCTAATCTTGAGCTCTGGTATGGGAATAGTATTTTGAGAGGAAATTGCTATGATGTATTCTTGATTGTTTATCCTGGAGTAGATTGGTTGTTTGAATCAGTGAAATAAAAACAAACGCAAACAAATCTTACTGGCCATCATCTTCGATAAATTGGCTGAAAACGATTTATTTTCTATATTTACCAGAATTCAAGTTTATCTTTAAAAAAGAGAAAAATAAAAGGAGAAGCATGAAAGAGTATAGATACAGTAGACCAGTTCACTAACATACTCAAATGTTATGCATACTTTTGAACAAAGGTTATTCATGTCAACCTGAAAGCTTGCCTGAGGCTTTCCCGACATGGCAACAATTAATGTATGCAGACTTAATTTCCGAGTATTGCAGTTCAATCATTAATACCGTTAATGGAATAAATCGTGACTAGGTCCCCCAGGAAATTAACATCCATAAATATTGAATATGTTAGTAAACCTGTCTATCAACAAAAAATGACGTTTGATGGACACTATTTTCATGTTAATTCCCAAACAGACATTAAACACCAACATCTCCATATTCACTTTAGTTTTTAACCCTTCCACATGCAATATCAAACATAAAAATATACGACATAAAGAATTTCATATTGATATCTCTTGGCCTATCTAAAACACAAGAAAATGTTAAATGGGCAAAAATCCATCAAAATTGTTCCATTCAAACTTTCATGATTTTTTCATGATTGACAGGAAATGATTTTAAACATACACAATAAAAACATTTGATAAAATTAAACCACTTTTTTCATGAAATTCTTCATTCAATCACGTCTATATTTCACAAGCAATCCAATTCAATTTAAATGGAATCAACATACAATTTCTACATTGTGGGAACGAGGCTTTTTATTAATTCAACCGACATTACATCATTTCAAGGGCACCAGAGGGGGCCCCGGCAGCCCTGAAGCTATTCATTGTGGCCCAATTGTGGCCCAATTTGAAATGAATGAGCATTTTAATAGACCAACTTCGGGGCCCCATGGTCTTCTGGGGGTCTTGACTGATATTATGTTGTATTGTATTATGTGCATAGTGGGTTTTATACATCAAAATCATTTTCGGCCAAATACTTCTTCTGAAGTGTATTTAAAAAAACTATAAAACAACTAGTGGGCCCCTAAAATAACATTTGGGAACGATGGGCCACGATAGTCAAATACCAGTCGTTGGCTACGTTTTTAGCATTTCATTTTACTTAGGATTAACCCGCATTAAAATGAGGTGAACACCATTTCCCTGTTGGAGCCGTCTGTGTACCGCAAGGAAGTGAAAATCTATTATGATAAAAGCTTTGAGCTAGCTAGCTCACCGTGTTAGCCACAATCGAGACTTTGTGATTGAGAGGCCACGTTAGCTAACATCTGATCCATCGCGAACAAATAACTGTTTATCAAAACGAAACTCTATCATGCTTCATACAGCAGAAAGGAATATTACCGCTCTCATAAATCGCACAAAGGAAAGTCAAGTTTTTACGGTTTAGGCCAGACGTATCTACAAACATCAACACACACACGCAATATCACTCACTCCCACGCTTATTCTGTATCTCTTTCTCTAGTCTCTATTTCCCTCCCTCCCTCTTTCTCTCTCTTTCTCTCTCTCTCTCTCTCTCTCTCTCTTCCTTTCTCTCTATATACTAAATTCCTTCGTTCATTTCTCTATTCGCAAATACAATCAAAATGCTATTCGAATTTTACGTTCTTCTTTATGTAATTTTATGTTGTAACCTTTCCAGCGGGACATCCTGCTCACTCAAACACATATTTTGTTTATAATAACGTAAGAATATAGTTTGAAAGATCTCTATGTCATGGTATGTGATATAGATTATGTATGTAAGCTATTTTGATTCTTTGTATGTTTGTAAAATGTGAGCAAAAAAGTGCAAGAATTAAGTTGATAGGAGTACTTGAAAGAGTACTAAGGGAGAGTCCGGAGAGAGAGAGAGTAAGAGAGAGGGGGTATAGAGAGAGAGAGGGGGGGGGGGGGGGGGGAGGAATAGAGAGGGGGAGAAAGAGAGAGGGAAAGAGAAAGATAGAGGGGGTGATAGAGAGGGGGAGATAGAGAGGGAGGGGGATAGAGAAGGAAAGAGAGAAAGGGGGCGGGTAAGAGAGCTAGGGCCGGGTGGCGTTATTTTCTTCTGCGGCACAATTTGGGGCTTCTTTTTTTAAGGGGTTTAAACCTAACCCTAACCTAAACTTTCCCATAGGCTCAACACGCACCTAACCCCAATCTGTGCCGCCGAAAAAAATAACGCGGCCGGGTGAGAGAGGAGAGAGAGGGAGGTGGGGGCGTATATAAAGGCATTACCAGGCAATCACACCAAATACATACATGCCAACATTTGAAAATCAGAAATCTGTACAAATTATGCTATTTAAAAAAAAAAAGAGGAACAATCCTAACTCTCCTATTCAATACTACAGACAAATTTGTACAGGAAGAGGAACACCTGCATTAAAATGATAATTATCTTCTCCTAAAAAGAGGAATGTTCCTCTTTCATCTGAACAGTTGGCATGTATGCAAATATGATGTAGGCCTACACAAACAATACAGCGGTGTGAAATGTTCTCTCTCTCTCTCTCTCTCTCTCTCTCTCTCTCTTCATCAGAAATCTATTAGAATGCATCGAACGTATGGACTTTGGACATTTAAATGTCTGCTTATTTTCACCGGGAGTGTATTTCATTGTTACATTTAAAGAGAAAAATATGATTTATTTGCTATCCAATTCTAAAAGATACCACCCCCCCCTTTTTTTTTTTATTATCGGGGGACACACGTTGATACTTAAAGGTAATGTTGAATGCGCATAAATTGTAGTATTTTGTCTCTATTCTACTTAATGCAAGTCTGCGAAACCACTATGGTAGCACAGCGGGCATCAATGTAAACAATATAAAACCTGAACAGAATTGGTTTACTAACAAATTCAAATGTATGGATGTTTCTTACCTGGGGACCTAGATCGAGACGAGGTATTCCATTAATCCGTTATTATTGAATGAACTACAATATTTGGAACCAGTCTGCATACATTACTAATTTGTTAGGCAAGCCTTGGACAAGCTTTTAGGTTATCAAGAACATCTGTTATATGTGAATAAACCGGTCTATTAAAAACCGATAATTAAATATTGAGAAAATTCTTCGTTTATATAATCTGAAAGATAAGTTACCTGTCATACAATATTACAAAGTTATGCCTCAATGAGTGACACTGTCTGGACCAAATATAATCTAAACAGACCAATTTCGCAATGAAACTTAATTTATACATATGCTTTTGTGAAGAGCCTCAAAACGATTTAATTTCATTCACCTGACAATTTCTCAGACCTGCTAAGCTCCACCCTAAAAAAATGCTCCAGATCTTACTCATCTTGTGACATCATCTGTCAATCATTCGTAAGCTAACACAGTCTAGAGACAGTGGTATGTAACTTCCCCCAGCTCAGCATATGCTCACATGCATTATTTCATACAATACCTCCACATTACCTTTCTTTTCCTGGTGATGCTACGGCACGTCTGACATAGCAACTCATGTGTTCGCATTGTGAACAGGTGGTCAGCTCTGGTGAAGCTATGTATCACTGTCTCTTGTTTAATAGGTCACTAATGATTGACAGATGATGTCACAAGATTATTGAGATCTAGAGCACTTTTTTTAGGGTGGGGCTTAGCACTAAGTAGTTCAGACAAAATTATTTAGATTTAAAAATCTATGAAATACATTTAGATGTTTGAATAACAAAATATGAGTTGTATGCAGCCCTGCACATCAACAGGAATCAACTTATATTTGGATGTCACCCCACCTTTAAGTAGAAATTTGGTCACATTACGAAAATGGGCTATTGCACTCGCTTCATTTTCTCACGAGACTTATGACTTGTTTAAACAAAATAGGGGATAGACTTCAGAGAGGACAGAGAGACAGAGAGAGAGAGAGAGAGAGGGGGGGGGGGGAGAGGGGTGGTAATTATTGTCAGAAATACACACATGTGTGTACCATGTCTCTGTGTTATTCACATAATTATAGCATAAACATGTGTAGAGAAATGAATTAATCTTCACTCATATTGTTTTAATTCTATAATGTGTATCATTTTATCATGTAAATGCTTAGACAAATATTGTACAATTCAGCCCTTGGGCTGTGATGCATATTTCTGAATAAATAAACAACTATCATCTAGGTCATACTTGTTGTCATAAATCAAAAGTGAAATGGTTTTGTTATCCTAGCACTCAATCATTGATTGTTTGTATTGCTTTGTGGATGCCCTACCAAGAATGTTTTAGAAAGTTCAGCAATTTAAGACTCAGAACTTCCAATAAAGCAGAATTTAAAGAGGGCAGACAAGATAAAAAGAGACCATTGCTTCCCTTATTAATCAACAACAGAATATTTATTTAAAAATCAGTAGGCCTACGTCGACGAAACACAACTTCCGAAAATCAAATACATGTTCAGGCACATGCTTGAAAAACAGCAACTTAATAATGCTCAGTGAATTGAGTGCTTTAACGGTTCATTGCGTAGCGGTGTGCACAAAAGGCACGATACTGACAAGTTTCCAGTCTATCTGCTCTTGACAAATAGTTTCAAAATATAATGCTGTGGAGAAATATATTTCATCTGTTTGTCATCTTCTTTACATGACTAATCATGCATAGATTTTGAAGATAATTTACCCACAGCATTATTCTACAATAAATCTAAATCGACACAAAGTTAACTTCAAAAATATTTCCCTATGCCTTTTGTACACACTGCCTCGCCGTTTTCCAAGTATTTGCCCATACAGTCGGTTTTCAAAAATTGTGTCTGGCAGTATGTAAAGTGTCATGATAACAAAGACTCTTTGTTTAAGCTTTTTAATTTTTTTTTATATCATTATAAGTCGACATTTGTACAGGCCGATTATTTTCAGCTCTTCTATTCCATATTTAGAACAGGTAGATATTGTTTAAAAAATCAACGATCTTCACCTCCTTGCACTATGAACATGACGGACAAAGAAAGACAAAGTCTGGCTCGTAGTACACAAAAATCCGGCCCGTATTGACTTTACACACCGGACTTAGGGGGTGTTTTCAAAAGGAGGGTACATGCATATGCGTACCCTAAATAACACTGAGTGGGGGGGGGGGGGTGGTTGACCTGCTTTAGTTTGTACACTAGTAGTGTTTGGGATCCTCTATTGTTTCTCTTCAATAAATAAAATAAGCACAAAGACTTTCAAAAAAGTATTTTCAAGGATACTTTAATTACCCTCTTGGATTATGTAAAATGTCATTATCATAGATGTTCAATATATTTTTGAATTTTCCTATAATCTTCAACTTTCTATATTTACAGACATGTTTTTCATGGTAGTATTTTACAAATCATATTACTAGAAAACAAGAGAAAACACTTGTGGCAGGCTATAATATCTCATAAAATACAACGCATTATAAAGCTGAAGTTGCCATTTAAGTTTCATGTTCAAGAAAGGGTTTCAAATTATAATTGAAACTGATAATGGACCAATTAGCATTGGGACATTGTCTTTGGTAAAAAAAGGCTGTGTTTCTGTTGTACGACACATATTGTTCACCGTCCTCGATATCATTTGAAATTGTATGGCACTCTCAGTAGAACAAAATCATTATGAGCACATTATTAACAGAATTTAATCTCCTAATACATATACAGTCAAACCTGCTTTAGCGACCATCTGTATAGAAAGACCACATCCCCCCCTTGAACATGGTTTATTATTGAAACCTGTACAGAAAGACCACTTTTTTTTTTGAGCAGTCTTTATACAGTGAAAAACTGTATTTAAAGACCGCTCAAGGGAGCCAAGAAGGGTGGTCTTTATATACAAGTTTGACTGTACATTCAATTTTTGTCATTACAGCAGCTTTCTCAACGGAAAGAGAAATGATTAGTGTACCCATAGTCCAGATTCTGCCCTTTTTTATATATTTATTATTCTTCAATCATCTATGTAGTCTTTCCGTACACATTACCAATACAGATCGCGCCATCCCCGAAAATACACCCGTTCCGTTACTTGTCCAATCAGTGTACATTCAACAGGGTGTAGATTTGTAGGCGGGCTTAATCTCCCAGAAAATTTTTGGAGAGAAAGGCAAATTCAAATGGACCGTTTGCGAGGGTGAGAATAAAAGGCACGGCTGTCTTCGTTATAGCGTTGAGGGTTTGTTAATTTCTCAGCTGATTGGACGCATGACACGGCAACAGTCCAGGCAGTGGACTAGTGCTAACTGCGCTTCTGCAGAGACAGACTGGTTACATTCTGATATGGGTTACTTTCATGGTCCCCTGGAGATACATGCTTTGAGTTGAGGATTTTTTTAAACCAGGGCCCTGTTTCATGAATCTTGTTATCAATAACAAATTGCAACAACTGTTATAAGCTACTGAAATGGTTGCATTTGATTGGCTGAGAGCAAATTTGTTACAGAAATGTGATGCTTGTTACTGAACACAAGCTTTGTGAAACAGGGTTCCAGGCATCCTTTGCATCAGCTGTGTAGATGAGACCCAAGCGTGAATCACCACAAAACGGTAGTTCAATTTGCACGAGAGTGAACTTCATTACATTTCTGGTTATATACATGAACTATTTTTCAAAATATTTAAAACTCTGACATTTCGTTGATCCAAAGGTTCATTATCTAAGAAGTTCATAACTCTGAAAATGAAATTGGGTTCATAATTCTAAAACTGAAAAAGGGTTTAAATTTCAGAAAATGAAATAAGGTTCATATTTCCGACAAGAAAATAGGCTTCCTACGTGTAACACCAAAGGTTCAAAATGAAATTGCAACTCTGTTTCACTTTTAGAATATTAAACCTTCAGAATATTCAGACCTCAGAATAATGCAACCAATGTTCAAAATAAATTCCATTCTTGCAATCAGGAATCCTATGGTATAGGGATACATGTATTTGTGTTTCAGGAATACAAACAATAGGAAAACCTATTAACCTTTAGAACAAAAATTAGAACCAATAGATAGGGTCTTGTATCACCTCTGAATCAGGGCCGGTATTCATTCCAATACTTAAGTCAGAAATGGGAGTATTTAACATTTTGGCTTATACCACATTCTTGGCCATATGAGGTATGGTATTTAGTTGATGCTTCTGGCTAAATATTTATCCCAAATGGAAGCAAACCGCTGTGGGTCAAAGAGATGCCAATCTGTGTTTGATTTATCACAACTTCAAAAATGTATAACTTTCTTCTTTTTCATCGGCTTTTGCTCAATGTTCACTGATTTGTTTCCCTCATTTTTCTGCTTCTATTAAAAGCAACTTAATATCAGGGTGGACTTCCCCTTTAAAAGCCAGGAATCCATCAGTCTGGTGTCGATATGGAGATGTGACTCGGGTATTAGTCTTGATATAATTGGACCAATCTTCTCCAAGTCAAATGTTGGACGCCTTTCTTCATACCATTCTTCTTTTCCTCTTCATAGATGAACTTTCTCAGCATTGCACATGTCCATGGTAGTCTTTCATTCAGTCACTGTCTTCATCCAACTCATCAAATTCCTACAAAGAGGGCGAAAAAAGAGAAAGTCATGCGAATGTTCTGGCAAAAATTGCAAAATAGACCGATTAAATACTATATAACATATCTAAAATTTATGGATGTTTCTTTCCTGGGGACCTAATGATGAGTTACTTCATTAACCTGTTATTGATGAATGAATGAATTGGAATCCCATCTGCATACAATGTCGCTATGTCAGGTAAGCTTTCAGGTTGTCAAGAACAATCTTTGTTCAAAAACTATGCACAAATATGAATATGTTAATAACTGGTCTAACAAAAAAATTCTACAAATAGGGGGGAAAAAAGAGAAAGTCCTGTAAATTTTTTGCCAAAAACTTGCAGATTGCGGATTCCTTTCTTTTTGATTTTATACTTTACACCAGGGTTCCACATCAACCCTTTCTTAATTTAATTTTATTTTAATTTTTTATTGTAGGGAATATAGATTTCAATTCTAGGGTCTTAATGCATGAACCCTATATTACAACTTTACAATTTTGGGGTCTGACTTTTTTGGCGTCCATGAAAATTTGTTGAGTTAATGTAGGCCTGTCATAATAATGGAAAGACTATTTCAGTTCAGTTAAATTCCAATACTCTTTTCCTAATTCATTTTCAACAAAAGCACAGTAAAGTTAAACATTTCCATGTACATCAATCCAAGGTAATAACACAATGTAAATCCAGCACAATGTAAGGTGATGTAGAATGAAGGTTCAGTTCATTTCTTAGCTTAAAATGAAATAAGAGCACTATATGTAGATACGAGCCTGATGTGGTGTCGTATTCCACTTCCCTTACATGGTATAATTCATATTTTATTATTATGAATAGTAAATATAACAGTCAAGGGCTAACTAAGGTCAGTGTGCGACGCAGCACAGCTTAGAGTGCTGGCCAAAATTTGCCACCAATTCTGGGTATGGTGTCTTCAAGTGAGTTGTACGGGGGAAACAAATAAAAACATGTTCCTCTCTTGGGATTTTTTTCCCGATTTCGGGCTACCAGATACCCAGGGGAAGATTGAAAGCATCATAATAAAATATTGAAGTTCAAAAGCTGCAAACAAGTTGGAAAATCGTTAATTAAAACTTCTCCCATACAATTTTGGAAGGTGAGTTCTCCAGGACTTCATATTTTCAAATAATTGCTTAATAAATTTGAGTCTGCATGGTATCTACTTCTGGTTCTGGATTTTACTCCGACAAAGCGGGATCCCGCATCGCGTCAGAGGAAGAGGAAAATACTTGGTATTTAGAAGAAAAAACTTCTCTCTCTCTTTCAGGGCCATTTCTCACAAGCATTTGCTTTTCTTTTGGTCCTTTCCATATTTCTTACTGTAATTAGTATTGTTGTTTGTATGTTTTCATGATTATGGTTTAATACAATCTTAAATCTTGATTTCTAACCATATGACTTACCAAACTTAAGCTCCTGGGTTCAATCATGATGCCATGTCTCTCTGACTCATCGTCTCCTGAGCTGAAGTCTAGTTTACTGGGTGTACATCTAGAAGTGCGTACCGATGGGGAAGGGCGTGCCGGGGTACCAATCCAAGCAGAGCTGCGGACCAGGCTTACGTTAGGACTACCACAGGGACTTCCATAGGGACTCACCCTACATAAAGAATAATTATTATAATTAGATCAATTTACATAGTACATTTAGATGGATGTGACAGATGTGACGGTTATTTTACCTGACTGCTAAGAAAGCATAAATGCTTGTAATTAAGTAAGCAACCAGATGGCCGACGGCTTTAGGTCCTCTCCAAGGGACCTGGTAGTGAGGATTAATGCCTTACCAAAGGGCACTAGCGCATCGTCTTGGTTTCGAACCCGGGTCACTGGATTACGAGACCACTGCTCTAACGACTGAGTTATCGAGCCTCCATTTACTACATAAATATACTCTACTGCCCTGTGATGAAAACAAAACTCAAAACTTTGCTTTTTTTACAGGCACACAATTTAAAAGCTCCTGAAAACAAGTGCGTCTTCAACAAAACTTAGAAGACAGTAACTGATGAGGCGTTTCGTATGTCATAGTGGTAGGTTATTCCAAAGCTTTGGAGCGTTGTAACTGAAATCCCAATCTCCAAGAGTTCCTTGTTTTTGTGTGAGGTAGCTTTAGAGGCAGCGTGTCCTGTTTAATTGCAAGTTATGTGTATATGGATTTGAATAGGTGACACAGGGGAATCAGGTTCTATTTCATCCGTTTGAAAGCAGCTGGGATACCGATGCGAGCAGAGCCAAGCACCCGGCTTATGTTTGGACTCCTACATGGACTGTCACTGAGACTTATCCTACATAATATGGTAATAATATGATGATGGAGTCCTGTATAGCACTCAGGTCTCTCCTAGCGATCCATCATTATTTCCCTGGCTTTAGCAAGGCTGCCATTACAGTGCTCAAGCATTTCCATACACTCATTTCTGCCAGGTAACCATCTACCTCACCTAGGTTGAGTGTGGCAAATTTGGTTTATGTCTTGCCAAAGGACATTAGTGCTGCCATAGGGATGCAAACCCCACACCTTGTGGTCAACAGTCCAGAAACTTATCCACAAACCTTTTCATTTTTTTTTCTAAACTACTGAGAGGCTAATGTTTGCACCTGCACATGAATGTATTCTACACAAGCAAGAGAAAGCACATGGTCCTCAAGTAACAAACTCATGCAAAATTAAGGGATGGAATTTTCTGGAGATAGGATCAATCATAACTATTGTGTATGTTACAGGGAGATGTGCAATATAATTGCTAGACTAGTAAATCTGGCCAACATTTTACATTTCAGGCAGATACATTTTATTTAGTCTAAAATCTTTTAAAACTTGGGCAAGAATTGTATTTGAGGTAGATTCTTCTCAAATTTGGGCTACATTCTTTTGATTTGGGCTAGATCTTGTTAGATGTTGGCTTACCTTGAAGGTGGTCTGTTGAGAATGATTGGTGAAGAGCTTCTAGGTGTAGGGCCACTATGTTTCTTTATCAGTTTGGGTGTAGCTGGGGTCAATGCACTCTTACTACAAGAGATATCAAACATACAGCACATATTTACATTAATATAGTCAGAGAAAACATTATGTAATGTCTTGTGTGCAGGTTGTGTACAAGTGGTGGAAGTTGACCCTTGACCTAGATTATGCTAAAACCTATAACTAACATAAACTACACATTAGCATGTTACTACTAATGGTATGCCTTTATATACAAAGGAAAAATACAAACAGTTTTGGTTTATACTTGAAGTTTGGGGAATAATAATTAAGAGGGAGAAATACAATATAAACTACAAGTATACATTGGGCTCTTGATTTAATGACTTGGTGTTTTCAAGAGAAACTCATAAACATTCATTGGTAGAAATGTTGCACCCTGATCTCAGCTATATCGATACATACAAAGGAAAATGACTTACAGTTTGGTTTTATACATATACCTCCTAGTTTGGGGAATAATAATTAAGAGGGAGAAATAAAAATCTATACGCAGACTAAAATGAACATGAATATTGCAAAAGTATGATAAAAAATAAATATACGTCTAGATATTCCTATATCATGAAATCAAATTGGAAGAGTTATCAAGTACATTGTACACCAAAATGGTCTCAGGTTATAGTACTACAACATAGACAGATTTGAAATTTTAATGTACCCTCTGGTGTGAAGTCAACCCTACCTGTTGTGAATAGGTCTTGAATGTTGAATAGAGCTGGTATCTTCCTCACTAGAGAATGATAGGCTTCCCAATGGACAGCCCAACGAACTATGCGATATGTCACTCTCAAATATCTCATCTGAAATAAAAAGACAAAAAATTATAATTTCTAAAATCCTAATAAATCAATTCTCTTTAATAGGATGAACCACGATTATCTCCTGTGACAATCACTAAGATATATGATTAGGGCAGCATTTTTTCCAACCTTTTTTAGTCATGGCAGCACTCTTTTAAAAAATAAAAAGTTTTGCATCACCCCTACTCAAAATTCATCACAGAACATTAATTGTGTATTTTCCACAGCTTTCTTCATCCTACCAGGGGGGGGGGGGGGGGGGGGGGGGGGGGGGGGGTGTTTCACAAAGATCAAACTTAACTCTAAGTTGGACTTAAAAATTATGGAGAGCCATCTGTAGCCTTAAAATATGTTCAAAACCGAAAATTGAAGTACTTTTAGACTTTTTATAAATTCCACATCAAGAACATGACATCTCCTTGATAATAGAAATACAAATGACTTGAATCAACATTTTATGCCTTTTAAGATAACTTTTACAAACTATTTGTATAGATGCTAACAACTTTCCATAATTGTTAAGTCCAACTTAGAGTTAAGTTCGACTGAGGATCTTTGTGAAACACCCCCAGGTCCCCATTTATCCCCAGGGTAAGGAGTGGCAAATGTAGATAAATGTCTTGCAGGTATTGCCGGGGATCGAACCCACGTCTTTTGCATTTCCAGTCAAGTGCATAACCCACTCAGCAATGACACCTCTACACCTCTGGGATTGTGGTATGCACAGTAATATGAGCTTCTGTAATGTGGCGACTGGTTGTTCATATTATTTCACTTCAGTCTTTATTTTCACTCTCAATAAAAACATCATGCATAAAATATATTAGAAACAACAGAGCATCATCAATAGAAAACAATACAGAGCAATTAGGCAAAAACAAATTATTAGAATTAGGGGTAAACAAAAAAGAGCAAATAGCCTTTATATACTAGTACGTTGACCCCCACAATTAACAATAAATAGATAATTATCACAAACAAACAGACACAAAAATAAAATAAGGATACAAACATACAATATATAACATTTTGCATTATGAATACAAACTTAAAAGATTGGATTTACAAAGGCATTTCAACTGACATCTGTTTGATTTGTAACATACCGTCTGAGAAGCTGAGATCCCAAGATGAAGGATGTCTCTGCTTCAGATCAGGAGCATCAATCGCTTCTGCATTCATGTTACTATGGAAACGTCTTGATGGAGATAAGATCTTGAAGACGAGAGCACTCATTAGAGAGAAGAGGAGCGACAGGAAGCCATGAAACGTGTTCCACTGAAGGAAAGGTAAACAAAACAAAGAGTAAATAAAGATAACTGCTCTAAAATCAAAGAAAAGTCTTCAAATTTGTAAATCTCTGACACTTTTATTCCCAAAGTGCCCCTGAAATGCCACAGGTTGTGATGGATTGTTGATGATTGTTTTACCTGACTGCTAAGAGAGCATTTGTGTGCTTGTAGGTAAGCAACCAGGGGACCAACGGCTTTAGGTCCTCTCCAAGGGACTTGATAATGAGGACTAATGCCTTACCAAAGGGCACAAGCACATTGACATGCAGAGATGCCAATCTCTTGACACAAAAATACAGACTGAGTATCCTAAAAAAAATCAGAATTTCAAGAAACTAGACACTACCCTGGGCCAGCAAAATTTCAGAAAAATGTTTTACTGGTAAGTACGGTCAAGTAAAATGTTTGCTCTTTCATTAAACTAATAGAGAAAATTGTAAAGTTTTTGTTGGGGGTTGCGGGGTATACTTGTACATGTTTCTATGTAATTCTGCGGTTTTTATGGTTTTCTTTATATTTTTTTTAAAGATTTTTTTTTTTTTTTTAATTTAATTTTTTTTTAAAAGATGAAAACTCGTATTTTAAGAGGTGATATTGTATTATCGTATTTCGCTCTTATTATCGTACTAAATACGATTTAATCGTACTGGTTGGCATCTCTGGACATGGTTTTGAACCTGGGCCCTCCTGGTTACAAGACCACCGCTCTACCATAGAGACACCGCACCCCCTTGTATGGCAGATGGCATATGCTTCAAGCGTTTAAATGCTTGCATATGCCCAAAATCTGATCCCTTTACTGGCTCTGCAAGATACAGACATGGCCCAAGTTTGGCGAGAATCCATCAATCGGTTCTTGAAATAACGCGATCACAAGAACGGGACGTACAGTCGGACAAATGGACGGACAACCTGAAAACATAACGCCTCTGGCTACTTCGTTGCTGAGGTATAAAATGTTCTTACCATTTTGTTGAGCACCCTCTTTCTCCTCTGCCATGCAATAGTGCTTTGAACCAGACTAGTCTCCATCAAGGATGCAAGGGATGGTCTCTTTCTAAAGTCTGGATCCATCATAGACCTTATCAATCCTTTCAATTCAGATGAGATACCTAGGCAAAAGCAATAGTATAGTCACGGTCTATTGTACACTTAATAATCAGCTTCATTATTAATACATACATGGGCATTGATAAGCAAGACAGCTTTAGACTGTTCATATATTAATAATTATCATCGTTGTCATCAACACCCTCATTATTATCATCAATATGACAACTACTATTATCACCATGTAATCATTAATCATCATAATCATCACCATCCAATCACTCATCCTTAGTAAAATCATTATTATTCACCACCACCAATGCCATCACTCATCAACATCACCAGCATCATCCTCAAAATCATTAACATCATCATCACTGTCGTCCATCAGCATTATATCATTCATCAATATCATCATCATTATTAAAACCACTTCGAAAATCACCATACTCATCATTCATTACCATTAACATTATCATCACATTCCTCATCAATATGCCTTGTATAAGTCTTAAGATGCTGATATGAAGTAAGCTGTGTGACTGATATACCTGCTGTTAGTTGCCATGGTATCCTGCCTTGCCTCAGATCATGCCATGAATCTCCATTACGAGGTAGTTCAAGGTCACTCGCTAGCTCTAGGATTGTAATACCTAAGCTGGAACACAAACATCACACAAGGAACATTATTTCTCTTTCATCAACTTCAACCTCACTATAGTATTTAAGCTGTACTAACCGCCTGGCCTCATCTTATACAAGTTATATTTCATCCAGATCGATCGCAAGTCCTCTGATCAATCTTAAGCTGAAATTACAAATCTAATATAGAGAGTTGCGATTTATACCAAATATCAAATGAGATTGATTCTGAACAATCTGAGTCTGAGTATCAAATTATTCTGTATAAAACAGGCCCCTGGTGTGAAAAAATTCTTTTAAAATGACCTTTGTCAACTTGACAGAGGTCTGAGGAGGAGGGTAGAGCCAAGGATAGACCCAGTGGAAGAACCATGGCGCTTACACAATATTACCTTGGTTAAAGCCAAGCCGCCAAAGTAACTATCGCTGAAGCATATCAGGTGCCCATTTAAAAGAAAGTATAGAAACGTTGTGATTCAATACATACTTCATAATGACTCAGCGAAGTTGATTCTGACTTTCAGAAGGTTGAATGAGAGATACCATCTATACTTCTATTTTATAACTATTTCACAAATGAAATTCAGAGGATCTTAAGAGAAAATCGTAAAAGCTTAATATAATCGCAGCTTACCTGTACACATCTGCATGCATTCCAAAGTGTCCTTGTAATAACTCAGGTGCTAAGTATTTAGGGTCCCCTTCCTGAGTGTCTGTGACATCATGCTATATCAATATACAAATATCAAACAAATATGTTTTATATTCATTTGTTGACTAACAATAGCTATTTAAAAACTAAATATGTCTGGTAATAGGACACAATGCCACTACAAATGTAACTAATGTAACCAAATTTAATGCATACCGGTACAACTTTGTGAAGTGCCTACAGTATTTGCCGGCGTAGAGGCCGCAGTATTTTTGGAAGAGAAAATATCAAAAAGTCGGGGTGCGGCCTTTGCGGCGAAAGAGTAATTTTTTTTAAAAACTCAAGTCAAAACCAGCACGAATTTGCACATATGGGACTACGAACGGTACAATAACTATACCACTATGGTACAGGACATTTCCACACATCTTACCGGCAATTTTATCTTGCATTGTTGACATGAAGACGAAAATAAATTGCTAAACCAACATTTGCCGATAGATCTTGATCTAAGTTCGTGCCAATGCATTGCAAAAGTAAAGGAAGGGACCATTTAATGGAGCTGCCGCGAAGCATCCATCCAAAGTCGCCATTTTGTTTTCCATTTTATGCAATTTCGGATTACACCGTACATTGTGGTAGGGGTATATATAGGACACCAAATCTGCCCGCGATCACTTTTTTAGCTAAACTTCCAGTAAATTATAAGAATATTGATGAATTTGGTATCAGTTTGTAAAAAAAAAATAGTGTTTTACAAGAAAATTACGATTATTTAGTTTTGTCCTTTTTTTTTTTTTTCCTCTTTGAAATGTCAAGTTGGGGTGCGGCCTATGCGGTGCTGTGGCCTTATCGCCGGTAAATATGGTAGATACATATTATTTCATTCACCAATTACGAATTACGTTATTACGTATGCAAATTCCCAATATTACATGTTGTTATATAGGTAGAGCAAGCCAGTTTGTACGCAACATGCATTTGTGACTGATGAATAAAATAATTTGTATTAAGGCACTTCACTAAGACCTATGCCTTGAATTTGGTTACATTACGAAAATAGCGTATTACTATTGAAATACAGTTAAACCAAGGAATTGGAATGATTGGAGATCCCATCCAAGAGGCCCCTTAGAAGTCATCAGTGACAATGCACATCTTTTTTTTCCCAACCATAATACCCTTAATCCCCCTCCATGACCGCACAGCTCACTGGTAGGACTAAGTCCTTCTTTTCCACCCACAGCCCAGCGAGCATGGCGGGTAATGCGTGGCAGGCCTATGCTCGGAGTGGAAAGTGGTGATGTATTGACAACTCATCCAACAAATGCACAAATATAACACAATTTCATTTAGTTCTCTTAGGAGATAAATCTTTGCTCCTAGCTATTTATAAATTTCGGAAATTTTCGGAAAATGTCAATAATTAGAAAGAAAATCATGATGATGAAAACCTTACATTCCCTCCAACTCACAATTTCCTTTGTCGATTTCGCTGGTTCAAATGTCTACCGGTATGTCTTTAGTAGAGTTATCCAAGCACGAAAAAAGCATTTATAACCAATAGAAAGTTGCATTGGTCATATATTGTGGATTCTGTATTCTATATGTTAATATAGCTATATACATCTTCACTAACATGACATCATATTTGCGGTGCCACGCTGTAATACTGTAATAGTATTGAATTTTGTAATAATTCTTTGTTATCACTTCCCAGACTGAAGGCAAGTTACTTTGGCTCTGTATGTACATTATATAGGCCTACATACCTCATCCATGTCCACAGAGAGTCCAAAGTCCCCTAGCTTGCAGACTTGGTGGAAAGAGATAAAGATGTTTTCTGGTTTCACATCAAGATGAAGGAGACCATGTGAATGCATGTGAGCCAATCCCTGATCAGAAAATAAATAGACAACTTTGTTAAAAACTCATGACCCATTGCAAAGCACTAAACACATAATAATAGCAACAAGACAAATGCAACTGCATCTCCTATATGCAGTGTAGGAAATAGATAGATGGCTATCGTGAGAACAAGAATAAAACCTGTAATTTCAGAAAATGACCTCTTTGACCTTTGATCATTGACCTACTTACCAAAAATCTAATCTCATTGTCTTCCAATGATGATAAATACTTTAAAAAAGCTCTTTTTTCCAAATTCGGGTTTAACAAAGGCGGAAGTCCAAGTTTTTCTACAACTTGTGATACGTTACCTTAGACCCAGAGTCGGTTTTAAATGAATTTGAATATGGACAAATGTTTCTTTTACAGCTCACTGAAGGTGTTTATATATATTTATGAAAATAAATACATAAAATAGTTGATTTATTGACAGAAAATACTGATTAACAGGGTTGTCTTTTCATAATTTATAAACGTCATAGGTGTGGGTTTTTTTTTGTATTTTTTAAAGTTTCTGGCCTTGTCTGTTTTGGTCCGGTCCTGTCAAGTCTGGTTTGATTGGTGTGTTTTGTTGCTTTTTAATATGCCTTTATTGTGTTGCTTTGTCTTTCCTGAAAAACCTATATCAGGGTCTTACTTCATTAAACTATTTGAATTCTAATTTATAAACACACATACATACAGTAGATGCTCTTACCTGTATAAGATCAACCAGGAAGCCCCAGAGAATGTTCTCAGGAATCTTGTGATTCTGCTCAGCATAAGCCTGCAAACTAAACATCAAACAGTACACCATCAGACAGCTGTTTCATAAAACTTGTTATCAATAACAATTTCTAATACTTGTAATCAATAACAAGTTCTAATTATGTTATAAGCTACTGAAATTGTGGCATTTGATTGGCTGAGAGCAAATTTGTTATTTCTTATTGATCAAAAGTTTTGTGAAACAGGGTGAAGGAATAAGACAGGATATCATTTAGGGTGCACAATAACGGTAACCCACCATCGTTCTTGGCGCCTACTAGTACTGACTTTGTATCTTCAAAAATATAGGGTTAACGTTAAGGATGCAATTCTCGCTATCACAACTACAGTATTTGGCCATAGAGGGCAGCACCGGCCATGCGTATATTTGGCAAAGGCACTTCCAGTTCCCATATAAAATCAATGGGTTAAGAACCCAAAAGCCTGATAGAAATTACAGATTTGGAACCAATAAACTATAAGTAACAGATTATGATGGCAGGCGCGGATCCAGGATTTCTTAGGGGGAGGGGGCCCAAATTTGAAATCAATTTGAAATTTAGTGTGCTGAAATTTCAAAATCGTGCCGGCCAATATTTCGCTCAGTGGGGGTAGTGAGCACTAATTTTTTTTTTTTTTTGCTCCCGAAAATTTGAAAATCATGCCGGCTGATAATTTGCTCAGTGGGGGGGGGGGGGGGGGGGGGGGGGGGGGGGGGGGGGGGGGGGGGGGGGGGGGGGGGGGATGGGGCTAGTGAGCACTAATTTTTGGGGGCCCTTAAAAATTTGAAAAATCGCATCCCCCCCCCCCCCCCCCTGAGCGCCAGGGGGGGGGGGGGCATCTCCAATAAAAAGGTAAAATGGATCCGCCACTGTATGATGGTGCATCAAATCACCAGTAGAGTTCATGAAACCAGAACAATTATTTAGTATAGTAAGGAATTAGTTGACATTGATGTACATTCTCTATGGAAGCCGGGAAAAAAAAAAAAAATTGTCTTATCGTCTTCCCCCATGTCGTATCTGCGCATGTGCTTACCTGCGCCGTGTGGGAGGAAGGTCGCAATCTACTGTCGACCATATTATTTGCGGTAGGGTCTATTGGATATGATATAAGATAATGCCCCCCCCCCCCCCCCCCCCCCCCCCCCCCAACTCCAATCCTCTATCCTTACCTCATTTGACAGAGTTCAGTTTGTATATAAAGATGGCCTCTTTCAGCCCATGCCTTATAGAACTCTACACAGTTAGGATGTTTAGACAGACTCTCATGTTTCTTCACTTCTTCCATCTTTCTCCTCCTGCCAATACAAACATAATAAATGTCTATTCAATAAACTATTCTTAGTATTCTTATAGTTACAGTACAACCCCTATGAAGAAAGACCACCTGTCTATAACAACCACATTTTTGTTTCTCTTTTTGTTTCTCATTGAAATGTAACTAAGGAATGTGTACATAAAGACCACCTGCCTATAAAGACCACTTGTCTTGTCTCCCTTGAGCGGTCTTTGTACACAGGTTTCACTGTATCTAAGCAAAGCACTTTAAGAGGTCTAATTTAGCAAGGAGGTGGACTGTGGTACAATACCCTATACATACATGTAGGGCCCATTCTACTACGCATCTCATTATTGTTTAATATTTATTTTAAAACATATTCCTGAATGAATATTTCAAAAAGTTTTTAATACAGAAAATGTTCGGTTCTGTTTTATCCAATAACACCAAATTATCTCAGGATATTTGAAACTTCCTCCAATACTATGTTTTTCCTTCTTTCTTGTGATTGAGATAATCTACTCCCCTGAAAGCAAGATATAGAATGCAAAATGATATTATACTTCACATGTTATGAAGTCGGATCAAGAACACAAATAAATACGAAGAAAACGAAAAAAAAAAAAACGAAATTTTATGTACAAAAGGCATGGAGAGTTGTCCACAGATGATGTCATCAAATTGAATACCGCCCTCTAGTGACTAGTAATTTAAAAAAGCTCTAACTTCTTTATTCCTTACCCGATTTTGTTCAAATTTTCACTGATTTTGTTCAAATTTTCACTGATTTTATTCAAATCTTTTAAACTTTACAATAAAAGTAACTTACTATGAAGGTTTTGGTTCCCTTTAACAAGCCATTCAATCCCATTCCTTATTCACAGGCATTACACGTACATACTGAATTTGATTACATGGGGGCAGAAAGAAAAATGTGTTTCATTCAAAATAAATTAGTTCCACTTCATGGCACATGAATATCTTTAAGAAATAAAGACTTTCTAAGAAATAATAACAATTTATAATTGTGTTTTTGTAAATCAAACCTTGTATCAAATGTTGTGCTTTCTACAGGGTGTAAGTACTTTAGACATAATAACATTGACTTCAGTTGAAAGTAATGACTAAATGTATTTATAAATTTCCTTATTGTTTTACATGCCTGTACAGTGTTTTCTTCTTCAATGCAACAAGTACAACTTACAATGTACATTCAAGAATAAAATAACAATTTGAAATACATTCCTATCACTGTGGGTGAAAGGCACAGGAATGGAAAATGTTTCATTTCCTAGCTTTCTTCAGTTCTGAAAGTATTAAAGTAAAATCATTTAATGACAATAACATCAAGACTCACTTATCCGACTCTCCTTTGAATCTATCTCTTGATCTCTTGACTGCATAGAGCTGGCCATCCTCTTTACTCCGCACCTGAAAGACCTGATGTGAACACAATAAAGAATGAGGCATTACAAACACCAATTACAGAGGATGATACTTATATTTTTGGTGTTAATAAAATGAAATAAATTGTGAACATCTGGTGAAAGGACACCTTCAATGTATATAAAGACAATAGCAACTTTTAAAAGTTGATACTTTAAATAGCTGGCAAAACCGCAGTACAGGAGTGGACATAACAATAAAGGGTGAGTCTATGAAAAACTGGTATGAACACAATATCAAACACTAGTATACAGTGTATCCATTCAACAACTGTGTATTTAACAAGAATGATACTTGAAAATCTGGTATTTATAACAAACCCTGCAGAACAGGTGTACACAAACACACACCTACAAAAGGTAAAATTAATGTACCGGTATGTAATACCTGTACACCCTGTCTCTAATGAAGGATAATAGTTTGAATATCTGGTGTGTGCAGGAGGATCCTAAATTTTTAATAATTATTAATACCAACAAATGTGGCACCTATACCTTGGGAACATTCTAAATTGCTTAATTTTGATACAATTTTCTCACAACTGTGCGGGATTGTCAAATTTTGACAGACATGGTGACTTACAAAAATGTTCACTATTATTAATGCAGGAGTATATTAGCATGATTAATCACATATAGATGCATACTTCTCCAAATGATCGGCTCCTAGTCTCCTGTCCACCCTGAAACACTGATCAAAGTAAAGTCTCCACTGCTCTGGTTATAGTGCGCACTCTCAAGGACCGATGCTGTAAACAGACTAGTCAAGGCTTACAACAGATTAGGGTGAGAGTACCTGTATTGAATGTGGTACATATATATATATATATATATATATATCACCAGTTAGATTAGCTTGTGGTCTGGTAATGATAGAAAATAAATCCTCACAGAATCAAACGAAACTTACACTGAATGTTCAAGATTACAAATAAATGACATGTGCCAAACGGTTTGGTAGGAAATGTATAGGGGCTGAGTAATGAGCAAAGAAAGATAAGGATATTAAGGTATATAGGCCCGCGACACGATTTGCTTAACGCAGCTCTCTACATACCGGTAAGCAAATGAGAGGTGTGGTTTTTATCAAAGATGATTTCCAGCAAGTCAGGTCAGATGGTCGCATTACCCTTCTGTGAAAACATGCTCCTTACTCACGTAATGTCAGGGGTAATGTTTGTGAAATAAACCCTTCTCATCTAGAAATGGTCTGGTCCAATTTACCTGACACTTTGCAAAAACGCTAAAGCAATCTACGAAAGGTCGCATCTGTAATGTGCCTCTTCACACAATCATTCGTTTGCACAAGGTTGAGGTGGTATAACACGACCACCCTACTAGAGGCGATGAACCAATGATCAGAAGTAAACTACCCAGTAGATCCCTGATGAAGAGTAAAGCCTCGGTCGCAAATGCCTTTACGAACTGCTATGAACGCCGTACGAACGATTTTCAGACAATGAAAATTTGAGAAGACAATGGAAAAACAGAGATTTGTACGAACTAATCGTTCGTACAAACCTTTGTGACCGTAGCATAAAGGATACACTGATCTGCTTGTCTGAAGGAGACATTCCTTGCTTGGTTCTCATCGTCTGTTCTTGATCGATGAGGAAACAATCTACTGACTGAGGGTAGACTCTTAGCCGGAGGACGGGGAGGTTGACATTCATGTGGGGTCGCTCCATTGTTCTGTAACAGAGATGGAAAAAGAACGATTCTGTTTCGACCATTTTTCTTTAAAGGTAATACAAAGTTTTGGTATGGGGTCGTGAATTTGGTTCAAATGAACATATTGGAAGCATATGTGATCCTAAAATAATCAGGGATCGTTGTCGCAGTTGAAATCGAGTCTAACGTTATGGAATTGTAAATAATAAACTCTTTATATTATATAGTTCCCTCTCAAGGTCAATAAATTAATTGAGCTATAAAACAATGTTTCTTGACTAAAATCGACTGATTAGCTATTCCCGTTTGGAAATTACATATCACAAACAACTACATATTCTGAGATTTTCATGGTCGCAGCTGCCATTGTACAGCCATAGGCCCTATTTGAAATTTATCAAAATTTACCGGGAGCACCGGTAAATTTTTATATTCAAGTTTTCTCGAAAGCAGAAGTGTTCAAGGGGCTAAATTTTTTAGGGCTTATAATACATCCATCCACTGGGGCATCCAAATATATTGAAATTGTAAAGAATCACTACCCGCTCGATTTTCAAAATTTACCAAAACTTTGTAATACCTTTAATGTTGCCAATAACTTTTTGTTGGAAACATTACGATCTAGATTAGCCGCATATGCATGTAGATCTTGATCTAAGTTTTTCTTCTTTGTTTTTGCTTCCACGTCATCGTCAATGGCACAAAAATGCCTAGTTTTTTACTTTTGATATGATCTAGATTCTACACACAAAACTAATAAATGGGTTCCCGACTTCAGAGAGGCAATAATTTGGCTGGAAAAATACCTGTATTGTTGGTGTTATTTTATTTCTTTTGTTTTTTGTTTTGTAAGCTAAATCTCAATTATTTATATTTGGGAGAAGACTCTCAAGAAATGGCAGAGCCCCCCAAATCGACAGTGCACCTCTACTCCTCTAGTTGAATGATGTGAATAGTTCTACTGCCTTACCCTAAGTTACTGAATACTAGACTATTTACTGGCTAAAAGTAGAACAGAATGTTTCGGCCAAATTATTTAGGGTTTTGACATGCAACAGCGGGCACAGCCAAGCAACAACATCAACAGTCAGTGGAGTTGTGTTTTACCCGACTGCTACAAATTACTCCAAGTTACAACAATTAGGCCTAGACTTCTACATTTTACAACTTTACAACAAATAGACTAGACCCTACTACAAAAAAACTGATAGGCCCTAGATTCTACATAGAGTCTATACAGCTAAACTACTACTAGGGTCTAGTACTATAGGCTATATAGTCATAGGCCTACCTAGGTCTAGATCTTCTACAACAATTAAACAAATAGGCCTAGAGACTTAGAGTCTAGATCTAAAGTTAGATCTACAAAGAGTGATAGTATAAGATTACGAGTCATGACTGTCTCTCTCATGAGCCTGTGACTGTGAGTGGCTGTAGACGTATACCGTGTAGATGAATCAGCTATTTAATCATATTCATAACTTAGCTAAGCCTAGGCCTAATGATTGAACTAGCCTACGGCGGCCGCGGCCCGCCATTGCCATTGCCATTGGCATTGACCGCCGGTACTAAACTGGACGATGAAATACATTCAGTCGTCACAGACACAGTGTCAGCGCCATATATCTGCCACTGTCACTCATTCACACACTGCCTCTGCACCGGGGCGGAGTCGGGTCAGAAGAAAGAAGCTCAAATTGCTCCTGTGCCCGCGCTAGACCACTACCAGCCCAGCCCAGCCCGGCCCCAGGCCATGGCCAGGGACAGGTTGTGGATGCAGGGCAAGCGATCTAGCGAGCCGTCATGGCATGAGTCAGTGAGGACGAAAGTTCAAGTGGCCGTGGTCACTTACCTTTTTCTGTGAGAACGATGGTTCTTGAATAAACTTCGGAATAGGCCTGGCTGGTGTTGGAAAGCCACTAAAACTCTTTCGAGAATTATAATTCATCCTTATGATTAATATAGGCCCCTAGATCTGTGACATTATGAAAACGCAATGTCGCCGTAGACGTAGACATTCTCTAATCCCTTATTTCAAACAGCGTAAACATTGATCGCAAAGTACACGATCACATCATCGCGGGAAATATTAAAAGGCGCGCTAACCAATGCAAAATTGTTTAAAATAAAAATATAATTTAATATATTTATATTCAAAGGTTATTCAATTTGAGATTATAAAAATTAAAATAAGATAACGTGATTTTCATAATTGTTTTTAAATGTATAATTTGACTGTATTTGACAATTGATATTCCGGGGTGATATTAAATGCAAATTGGACTAGGTATGTACGTCTAGGGGTTGTATGTCGATGGCAATAATACACAACGTCAGTCGACTATGAACTTGTTTTGGGGGACATCAATCAAGTTCAAGTTCAAGTTTATTAAAACCAAATCAAACATAAACAATGGTACAAGATATAACAGCAATACAAGAATGATAGGTTTGGGACCCAAGTGAAGCACAGCTTGTGCAGACGCGGATCCAGGATTTCTTAGGGGAGGGGGGAACTTTTTTGGGGGTCCCAAAAAAAAAATCGCAACGACTCAGCCAGCCGCTAAATAAGCGGGGGGGGGGGGGGGGGGGGGGGGGGGGGGAGGGGGGGGGGGGGTAAGAGGACACTTTTTTATGGTCTCGAAATTTGAAAAAATTGACATTTTGTTCCGTTGGGGGAGGGTGAGGTCACCTTTTTTAAGGTCAACCATTGGCATATTTTTTTTATAATCACAAAAGGAGGGGGGGATTCGCTCCAAAATACACACATAAAAAAAACCGAAGGGGGGGTTCGACCCCCCCCCCCCCCCCCCCCCCCCCCCCCCCTGCGTACGTGCCATCTCGTCTGAATACAGTTTTCCCCCTCCCGCGCGAAGCGCGGAAGCTTTTACGTAAATCATTAGAGAAAGAAGACGCTTCGTGTACCGTTTTTTACTCTTAATCCTCGTCTAAATTCATCCCCCCCCCCCTCCCGCGCAAAGCTCGGAAGCTTTAACGTTTCATTAAATCATAAGAGAAAGAAGACGATTCGCTGTACCGTTCTCGACTCTTAATCCTCGTCTGAATTCAGTTTTGCCCTCCCCCCCCCCTCCGCGCGAAGCGCGGAAGCTTGTACGATTCTTTTGGGGGTCCCAAAAAAAAAAATCGCAACGACTCAGCCAGCCGCTAAATAAGTGGGGGGGGGGGGGGGGGGGGGGGGGGGGGGGGGGGGGGGGTAAGAGGACACTTTTTTTATGGTCTCGAAATTTGAAAAATTGACATTTTGTTCCGTTGGGGGAGGGTGAGGTCACCTTTTTAAGGTCAACCATGGCATATTTTTTTTATAATCACAAAAGGAGGGGGGGATTCGCTCCAAAATACACACATAAAAAAACCGAAGGGGGGGTTCGACCCCCCCCCCCCCCCCCCCCCCCCCCCCTGCGTACGTGCCATCTCGTCTGAATACAGTTTTCCCCCTCCCGCGCGAAGCGCGGAAGCTTTTACGTAAATCATTAGAGAAAGAAGACGCTTCGTTGGTACCGTTTTTACTCTTAATCCTCGTCTAAATTCATCCCCCCCCCCTCCCGCGCAAAGCTCGGAAGCTTTAACGTTTCATTAAATCATAAGAGAAAGAAGACGATTCGCTGTACGTTCTCGACTCTTAATCCTCGTCTGAATTCAGTTTTGCCCTCCCCCCCCCTCCCGCGCGAAGCGCGGAAGCTTGTACGATTCATTAAATCATTAGAGAAAGAAGACGATTCGTTGTGCCGTTTTTGACTCTTAATCCTCGTCTAAATTCAGTTACCCCACCTTCTGCGGGAAGCGCGGAAGCTTTGACATTTAATTTAACTATTAGAGAAACAAGACGATTCGTTGTACCGTTCTCGAAAATAATCCCCGTCTGAATACAGTTTTTCCCCACCCGCGCGAAGCGCGGAAGCTTTTACGTTTCATTAAATCATTAGAGAAAGAAGACGATTTGTTGTACCGTTTTCGACTCTTAATCCTTGTCTGAATTTTATAAATGTTTTTTGTCCGTTCCTTTTTCTTCATACGTCCTTTTCCTTTTCTCTCCTCTCTTTTTTTGGACGACGGTTTTTTTTTGGGGGGGGGGGGGGTGGGGGAGTGGGGGCGCCCCCACTGCCCCCCCCCCCCCCCTGGTTACGCGCCTGCGGTCAGATGAACATCTTTTGATACCTTGTCCGCCCCCGGAAAACTCATGGGTTGAAGGCAAATTACGGTCAGATAAGCATTCAGGGGCCCGCCTCAGGGCCCCTGGTGGAGTCGAGGGTGCGGAAACCCCTGAATCTCAGGGGTTTCAGGCATTATTTTGATTACGGTCAGATGAGCAATTTTTGATACCTTATTTTGTTGTGACACTGGTAGATAACTATTTTTTCTTTTTAACCTTTTTTTTCGGTCCTTTTAGCTCTCCTTTTTTCCTTTTCCTTCTTTCTCTCTTTTTTAGCAGGCCGGGGGGAGGCAAGGGCATTTTGCCCCACCCCAAACCCCGATCCACAATTTGTTGGCGGAAAAAATTGCAACTGATACCCCTTCTTTCTATTTCCTTCCTTCTCTCTTATTTTGTTGATTGGGGGAGGGGGAGGCGAGGCTCTTTCACCCCCCCCCGATCACTTCTTCCCCCTTTTCTTTTCTTCTTCCTCTTCTTTCTTTCCCTTTCTCTCCTCTTTCCTTTTCCCCCCTCCTTTTGTTTCCCCCTTTACCCCCCCCCTTTTTTAGTAGAGTATAGGGATCTTTCAGTGCAATTTGAGAACCTCATTTGGCGCATTAATGTCCACAGGCACTTCCTGGAAAAAAACGAGGCCTTCTGATTGGTTAGAAGTTAGAGAAAAGTGATCTGCCACGTCGCAAGACGTTGTATTTGCTTCGTTGCTGCGCAATGGGGGTTGTAGAGGCCACCGATTACCGACATAAGGCTAGCCACACATTACCGACAATGTCTACAAATTTAACCTTATAAACCCGGGGCTATATGCAGGAACTAAGTTGTTGTTCTTCTTCTTTTGCTTTTTTTTGGGGGGGGGGGGGGCTACACGCCTGGCAAGAGGGACCCCATATTAGGCACAAAATTGCGTGCCCCGCCCCCCTTTCCGTAAAAAAACCTTTTTTTATATCATCCCCCTTTCTTTTTTTTCACCTGGCTTCTTATTATTCACCTTTTCCCCCTTTTCTCTCCTCTCTCTTCCCTTTCTTCCTTTCCCCCTCTTAAAGCTTCTTCCTTCTCTCGATCATTCCCTTTCCTTTCTTCATTTTCCCCTCCTTTTTCTGTCCCCTCCTTTTAATTTCTCCTTTTCTCCCTTTTTCTTTTTTTTTTTAACGGGGGGGGGGGGGGGGCACCTGCCTCCTGAATCCGCCACAATATAATATTACTTAGCTCACTAAACTCACGTACGTGTGACAGATATCGAATCTATATAGGCCCTATCGATCTATATTATGCAATTATCATCATAACTGCATGTGTACGTGTATGTTGATTAGGTATAGTCTACAGTATAATGTTTGTGAGACACGTCAGTCACAGAAATTTATGATCATCCACTTAATCAACCGAAGAAATAATGATAAAAAAGCAAACTCGTGACATATGGGATCAAAGTCCATGGAATATATAATCCTAGCTACACCTCACGTAGGCCTACTGACTGGTACCAAACCAAACGAGGAGGATGAGGGGGTACCGTCCGCAGCCGTCCGCACTGTTGGTTTTACACCTTGTTGTTGGGTTGAGTCTTCATTGCAGAAAAAGTTGGTTGCATATTATATAGCTTATAATATATATAGGGTCTAGTATGCTTTTAAAACACAGTAACAGAAACACATGTTACAAATGTGAAATAGTACTTATAAGAAGAAATTCGAATTTACGAGGCTTGATTTGGGGAACTCTCATATCATAAACTCTTATAAACCGTGAATGAATTATCGGCCACTACCAGCTTCTTGTACTTGGAGCCTGCATATATAGACTCGTACCAGTCATACAGTGGAAGCTAAAAGTGTAAGTACTGGATAATTGTTTATTGTGTTCTTAGCATTCTTCCTGTTGACCTTGTTAGTTATTTGTAGTTCTCGTGATTTGAAGTATAAAGTACAGATATGTGCATGTGATCGTGATAATCATGATTATAATAATAACTGGATTTATATAGCGCCTTTTCCAAAGGATACAAGGCGCTGCACTGTCTCTGACTATCAACAATTTAAGAGGAGTTGTACAGGTAAGTTTTCATTTGTTTTTGAAGAAATCTAGTGAAGTACTAGGTATAGTTTGTTCCAGAGACGTGGGGGTAGGGGTGGGGGGGGGGGGGGGCTAAGGACTAAAAGGATTTGAAACCAGCCTGTTTACGGGATTTGGGAATGACAAAGGTAGGAGCTGATGAAGACCTAAGATAATAGGATGTTCTCTGTTGCTGAAAGAGTGAGGAAATGTATACAGGAAATTAGTGTGGTCCATATAAATACTTCGCAGACCATATACACCATGCACCATCTTTGTATTTTTTTTTTAATAAATAGTTTTATTGGCGTGTATCATTCAGATATGAATATTTACGCAGATATATTAAGCTCTTACTCTTAGCTAGTCTTGGTCTAATAAAAGTGTGTTCAATAGATGCTCCTACTAACAGTGGCGGATCGGGGGGCCCCCATCCCTGGGAAAAACAATGTGTAAAAACACGTTAATTTTACCTTTTTTTTAGAGATGGGCCCCCTTTAGGACCAAACAAAAAATTAGTGCTCACTACCCCCCCCCCCCCCACTAAGCGAATTATCGGCCGGCGCGATTTTCAATTTTTACGGGAGCAAAAAAATTGTGCTCACTACCCCCACTGAGCGAATTATAGGTCAGCTATTTTGCCGCTAAATATTTCCTCACAAATTGGGCCCCCTCCCCTGACGCCGGCTGGATCCACCCCTGCCCACATACCAGTATATTGTTTACCAATTTTAGACAATTTAATCAAATGTTGGGATATATTGCTTTAAATCTACATGTATAGACTCTACTGCACATAATACTGTTATAGATCTTATAAACTGAACTTCCCTTTGTGAAATATGTGATAATTAGTATTTTATAGCATCCTGTCTGTTTATTATCATTGTTTATTTATAGATTCTGAGGAAGTACGCTTCACGATTTTCTGATAGATTAGTCATCATGGCAGGAAAGGAAAAGAGGGACACTTTTGATGAGGAGGAGGCTGAAGACTTGATGGACTGTGCATCTCAAGAAGGGCCAGCGGCCATGACAGAGCCTATCATCAAAGAATCAGAATGTGGACGGGAGCGAGCACGTCGGCGTTGGGTTACCGTTGAGTTCATTGTGATCCTCATTGCGGCTAGCTATGGGGGTATGGCCACACTCTCAGGACAGTACATCAGACAGCGTGTAAGCTTAGATCTCTATGGCAACACAACGCATTCAAACAGTTCACAATGTAATCAAGGCAATGCTACTATGGAAATAGAAGAGGAAATACAGAAGATCACATCAAAGTGGTCTCTTTATCTTAATACTTGTGCTGCACTTCCAAGTATCTTCTCTACTTTGATCATCGGTACGCTCAGCGAGCGGTACGGTAGAAGACTGCCTATCCTCTTACCATGTATAGGATTCCTAGGTCAGTGTGTTGGGCAGCTCTGTGTTGTTTATCTCAGTCTTCCTCTGAGTTACCTACTGTTTGGTAATGTGTTCTGTGGTCTGAGTGGAAGCCTGTCTTTGTTCATGGCAGGGTGCTTTGCGTACATCACTGATATCACAACAGAGAAACAACGGATGGTGAGAATCGTCGTCATAGAGATTCTCATATTTGCTGGTATAGGAGCAATGCAGATCGGTTTGGGATACATGATCAAATCACTTGGTTTTGGGCTAAGCCTATGGATACCATTCACTGCCGTGCTCCTGAGTGTTATTAACGCTGGAATACCATTGCTCCTCGTAGAAACAATTGTTCCCAAGTCAAAAGAAGAGCAGAGAGATTTGGCTGAAGTTCTCAAAGACATCATTAATCTATTTCGTGTAAAAACAGGTTAATATTGTATTCATTTGTGAAAACTTCATTCACTTCATTTGTTCTACAAAATGTATACTTTTTTTATAAGGGTAATAATAATAATAATAATAATAGCTCACATTTATAATGCGCCTAATACTTTGTTTCTAGGCGCGGAACATATTAACATATAATAACAGATATGAAATAATAATAACAAATAACAAATATGAAACATCACATGAAAGAAGCATTGAAACGATTATGTATTAGTGATGGAATAATTGAATGAGTATGCAATATGCATTATTTCAAATTCAGATGACAACAAAGGATAATGCTTTACATACATGTACACACTATAGTACTTCGCAATTTTGGCAAATCGAATTTTTGGGATAAATCTTATGTTAATTGATTAAGGTATAACAGAAAAAGGTCAGGAAATTCTACCAGTTTCATTATGGATAGTGAATAAAATTCTAGTAGAAATTCTAACAATTCCCTACTGTTAATTTTGCATATTTGTTAAATTCTATTTAGACTACTCCCCATAGAATTTAACATATATACAAAATTAACGGTAGTGGATTTAATAAAAAAAAAACTGCATGACTTAATTAATAACAGTAAACATATCTTGCAAATTTGGGACCTTGGAATTTTGGATTGATAAGATTTGCCTGAATTAGCAACTACATGTAGTTTATAAATGCAACATGCATTCTGATGGCAGGCGAGGGTAGGGTCTTGGGTATAAGTGTAGAGTTTTTTAATTATAATTATGTGAGCTGATCTGATCTACATGTATTTGCAGGGCCCTTTTTGTAAGAACAGCACTGATCAACGCTGATTCCATGGATATGCATACAAAAAATATTATTGTGTTATTAATATCATGATTGTCTTTTTACTCTTTTATTTCAAACAGATAATCGCCTGTATCTGCTGCTGACAATGTTTGCTGTGAGTCTTCTAGTTGGTATCGTGATCCAAGGGGGGATCGCGATCACCGTTCTCTACGGGCAAGGACAACCCTTTTGCTGGGACTCAATAACTATTGGATTCTTTATTACTACTTCACTAGCTATACCAGGCATTGGTAAGACTAACCATCTATCAGATGGATAACTCAATAATGTGGGTATCATCCCATTGAATGTTGTGTTCAGTATTAAGGGCGTGTTCTGCTATTGCTGAACGAGATGGAATGTTTAATATAGGGGCAGTGCAATTTGAATTTTAAGGGATGGATTAGAGTTTGCATCGCTAACGAGTCACGACGGCTTTCCGGCTATTATAGGTGGACCCTTGGATTAGAGGTGTCGTGGTTGAGTGGAAACGTCGCCGGACTGTCGATCACAAGGTCCGCGGTTCGAGTCCCGCTGCGGCACTAATGTCCTTTGGCAAGACATTGATCTACATTTGCCACACTCAACCCAGGTGATGTAAATGGGTCCCTGACAGGAATTAATTCCTTGAAATGCTGGAGCGCTGTATAAACGGCTGCTAGGCTATAGAGCCGGGTAATAATAAATGTGCCTCGGAATAGAATTATCTAGATAGATGGCGCTATAGAACTGCCTATTATTATTATTATTATTAGTAAAGATAGAAGTGGTTCCCAAGAATAGGAGGCAATTTGTATTTCCTGTCCGATCCCGGATGACCTTTTCTGATATCAATCACTTGAAAAAAGGTCCAACGTTTCCAAAATACTTATTTTTCTCTGTTGCTATGCTCCCTCCCTCATTTATAGTAGATGATGTGCAACCCAAGCCTGTAGAGTCTTAAGTTTCCTTTTTTTGTTTAATGTAGGAACAATAGTTAAACAAATTGGGGAAAAGTCATTTTGAAAGTGACATTACACAGTGTGCTAATTCATCCCATTTATTGTGTGTTTCAGGTACGGTAAGTGGAGCCGGCATCTTCCAATGGTGCAAACTCGGCTACCTGTGGATAATACAGATCGCTATCTTGAGTTGTCTAGCTAATACTCTAGCATTAGCATTCACCTACGTCATTCAATCGACTATTCTCATCTTTGCAAGTAAGTTGACACATTTGATCTTTTCAAGTAAGTTCACACATTCAATCTACTAATGTCAACTTTGCAAGTAAGTTTACACATTCAATCAGCTTATACTGCACACTCGGGTTGCGGCGTGCTGGAAAACACTTGGGTCACGGCTCACTGGGCCAATTTTTTTAATGGTGTCTTCAAATCAGCCTACACGCTGGGAAAATCTTATCTTAAATTAGCGACTGTGTTTAACCATTTTTCAATGGGGATCCGTGGGGAAATTTACTTTAAAAAAGAATTTGGAAGTTGCGATTATTTTCTTTAATGATAGAAAAATAAGAAGACAATTATTCAGGCTGACATTAGGAAAGACAAAATACTAGGTGGATAAAGTTGATTTTAGAGAAAGTGTAATACTACAAGGGAATATGACTTGTGATATGGTATCCGTAAGAAATTTAGATTTTCTCCTCTGGAGTCAGGTGAGACTCCAAGTCAGTACTTGGTTAGGATAGGACACTACCTAGGACATTTCCTCAGCACTACATCCTGACTTATGGATCCTGCTGAGTATCGACATAGAAGTAGAAGTAGATAGGTGGATGGAGTTGTCTGAGACAGAAAAGTCCTCTGAAGGTCTTATAAACATGTTGCTCAAGCAACAGCTCATTGAGAAGGGTGGCCCCTCCTTAGAAATGTTTCTGAAAGAACGAAAGCCTCAGTCGGTTTCGGAAATAATTAGTTTCGCTGATACATTTGTTGAGGCTCATTTTGGTCAATTTGGGAATGGTAAGATAAGAAGAGGAATAATGGTGACTCTAGATCTCTGTCGGTGACTAAGAAGGTTATGTTTGGAACATCTTGCTAATAATTGTAAGGTTAGGTTACTTGCTGCAGGTCTTGTAGACGAGCGTAAGGCTGAGAGAAATTCTGGTACTAAAGCAGAGATAGGAAAGGTTGACTATCCCTAGTGTTTGCCTGGTAGCCCAGAACCTGATAGTACCAACACATGTGGACTGTTGTTTGTATTATCTGTACTTGTTGATGTGCATGTTGCAGACTACTTTCAGGAGAGAAGCTCAATCGGTACTGTGGGCTGCTGCCTGCATGTCAGCTTTAAGCTAAGGAGCAGATTGCCAGTAATAGATGGGAAGATTGGATTCCAGGTTGTTAGTGTTCTGCACGATACAGGATTGTCAGGGGTAGTTGATAGGAATTCGTTAGTCATGCCTGATCAGTTCACTGGTAAGAGTAGATTGAGTGTAATTCTTATAGATAGGGACATTTTGGTGATTTCCTGTGGCTAGGATAGATATTAGGAACTGCAAGAGCATATAATAAATCACCAGTCTTTGATCTTGTTCTTGGGGAAATAGAACATGTTCATTTGGTAGGTAATCCTCTTCTGAATTGGGAGAGAGATTTGCCTCGGATTGATAATTCTGAAGGAAGGTTGTCTCAGGTTAATAATTTTGAGAGTAGTTCACCTCAAAGTGAAATTCCTGAGAGTGGTTTCACTGGTACAGATGGTCAGGAGAGTAGTTCGACTGGGGAACTCCAGAGTTTGGTGTGCTTCAGCCAGATAGTTCTGGAGGAAGTAACACTAGTCGTGGTAGTGCTATTGGAATGGCAGTGCAGACACGGTCGCAAGCTAGACTCCAACAACCTTTAGTCATGCCATCCCTAATGTATCTCCAGAGGAGATTAAGAGAAAAACAGGGATAGATCCTACATTGAGGAAGGCCAGAGAACAGGCTCAGCTACAGTTCGTGATGGTCTTATTTCATAATGGAGGATAGGTTGTTATATAGAGTTTTTAAACCAGCATTGACTTCAAGCAATCCTGTAAAACGGTTAGTTGTACCACAGCACAGGTATATCAAAGGCAGTATTGAAGTTAGCCCATGAAGGAATCTTGAGCGGTCATCACGGTATTGGGAAAACCACAGAGAAGATATTGACATGCTTCTTTTGACCCGGTATTTCCGCTGATGTTGTCAGGTGTTGTTTTAGTTGCGATATATGCCAGAGAACAACTGAGAAGGGAAGAGTTTCCAAGGTGCCAATTGGCAAGATGCCTGTAATCGATATATCCTTTTCATGAGAGTAGCTATAGATTTGGTAGGTCCCATTCATCATGTAACTTCGTATGTATAATATACTAATACAACTGTTGACTTTGTATCTCGTTATCAGAAGCAGTCGCATTACCTAATGTCGAGACCGCCGCAGTAGCTGAGGCTCTACTTGGTGTGTTTTGCCATACAGGTGTTCCCCAGGAGATTCTTTCTGACTATGGTAGTCAATTCACTTCAGGTTTGATGCGGGAGGTCAGTAGGTTGTTGTCCATTATAAAGCAATTGACCACTTTGCCATATCATCCAGCCTGTAATGGTCTGGTTGAGAGGTTTATTCAGACATTGAAGCAGTTAGATTATCAATAGAGTTTGTGCCGACAGATTGGGATAGGTATTTAGGCCCTGTTAGGTCTGCGCCCCGATCTTCACTTGGTTTTTTGCCATTCAAATCAATCTATCGTAGGCAGGTTTGAGGTCCACTTGAAATTCTCAAAGAGTTGTGGAGTGGGCAGCCTAAAGATGCTGATGTCAAGTTGACTTATCAGTATGTGACGGATCTCAAGGAACGTTTTACTTAGGAGAGTCCTTTGAAGGCAGCTCATGAGGAGCTACGTATTTGGCAGTTTCTAGGTATGCAGGCAATTACAATGCCAAAGCGAGGAAGAGAAATGTTGTCTCAGGAGATAAGGTCTTGATTCTTCTACCGACTGATCACAATAAGCTTCTTCTGCAATGGAAGGGTATATTCAGAGTGAAATGACTATTGGCTCGGTATGAATGGGAAAGTGTGTGTTTTCCATGTGAATCTATTAAAGAGATATACGAACAGGGTCGATGGACAGGTCAAGCGTGATGATGTGAATGTGGATGGAGCTGTGGATGTGATCAATCAAGCTTTGATGAGGATGATGATGTGGATGTAGGTCTTGATGGTCGTTTAGTCTCAAGTAGTTTGCGACCTCAAGTTCTGTCATCAGAGGCTCAGGAAACGGTTGAGAATGTGAAATTTGGACCGAATTTGTCTACTGATTGAAGGACTACTATTAAAGACTTGATGGTAATTAATTTTAGGGGTGTCGTGACTGATGTTCCATGGAAGTCACACATAGGAGCTCATATTCTGTCCAACTGACATCCGGTGATCCTGTCAGACGGAGGCCTTATCCAGTTCCTCATACTCTCAGAGGAGTTATATAAGAGGAAATTGATAAGATGCTTGACATGGGTGTCATTGAGAAATCAGAGTCGCCATATTCGTCTCCTACAGTGGTTGTCAAGACGCCTGATGGGGGTCCAATAGGTTTTGTATATAGGTGTTGATTGAATAAAATTACTTTATTTCATACAGAACCTCTCCCAAGTGTGGACGGGTTGTTTGCTGGTTTGTCAGGGTCAGGGTCAAGATATTTCTCAAAATTAGACTTGAGCAAAGGCTACTGGCAAATAGCACTGTCAGGTGATGCTAGGAAAAAGGCTGCTTTTTCGTAGTTCTAGTGGTTTATTACATTTTCTAGTGATGCTGTTTGGGCTTGTAAATGCACATGCAGCATTCAGTAGGGTGTGAGATCTATGTAGAGGGGCATAAGTAATGTCACCAACTACATAGATGACAATTCTAATTCTAATTCTACCAGTAATTCTAATTCTGGTTCAACCAAATCAATTGATTCATAATATATTATAATCAGTTTCTCAATTTATTAATGAAATTAATTTGATATCGTAAGGTATTTCGATCTGCCCTCAATTTCCTTAAAATTTGTGCACTTATTTCGAGGGAAAAAAACTTTGTTTTTCTATTATAATCATTGTTTTTATCACAGCTCTATAATCAATGAAGTACTTAAAAGTAGTATTTGGTTGTGCTCAATTAGTACTCTTAACTTAACCAACATACAAGTAATTGTAATCGCCTCATTCTTTTAATAAATGTTGATTGTTATTGCCATACATAGTTGTAACCACTGCCTTGTGGTTCACGTTCTCTTTAGCAGTGAAAAAAATACACGGGGGCTCTGGGCGAAATAGCCCCTGAAATGCCCAAAAGAGCGCCCAAAAATCAGAAAAGAGCCCCTGTAAATTTGCATAGAATTCAACGCATAACACATTTTAGAGTGTTAATTTCATGCAGGCAAGTTTGAAAAATAGCCCGCGAAAAAATAAATATTAATTTTTTCCCTGCTCTTTAGAATCTAAGGCTAAGGGAGCAAACCCTAACAGAAAACCATACCAATGTGACAGCATTGAGGGCGATTATCGATATGGAACTCCAGACATCCTTCGACCAGTCACTGCAGAGTCTAGTGGTTAACACCCGTCCTGGCTTGTCCTCGCCGGTGTGAAAATGCCACCAGTTCCCCAAGGGAGTGCCATTAGTAACTTGCAAGAGCTACTAGTACTTACCCACCTTTGCAAGCAGCCTTCATGAAAGTGAAGACGGTCATTGTCGCTTTGTGACAGACAGCTATTACTACTACTACTACATAGATGACAGTCCAGGGGGGTGTTTCATAAAGCTGTTCGTAAAGTCATGCATGACTTTATGAATGACTTAAATATGAAAAGCCAAATGGGATACTATATAATTTTTATTTGCACCAACTCAACTTGAACTGTGCAGATGTAGATTAACATTCTCATTATTTATAACAAACATTTTAATACAAAGTATATTTTTTGCTATAATTTAATTGAGGTTATTGGAAATAAAGTCACACTTTGTTAAAACATCAGGAAAAACTTTGGGCATCCTATCTGGCACTTCATATTCAAGTCGTTTGTAAAGTCATGTGTAACTTTACAAACAGATTTATGAAACACCTTGGACACTTCCACATGGGATGATCAACTAGTTGCACTTAGTGAGTTGTTCAGGAGGTTGAGAGCAGCAGGTTTGACTGCTTGCCCTAGTAAATGTCAGTTAGGGTGCACAAGTGTTGAGTTCCTTGGTCATGTTGTAGAGGGAGGAAAGATCTGTGAGAAGGTTTGCAATGCGCCTTTTTGGGTCATTTCTCGGTCTTGCTGCTTACTATAGGGGATTTATTCAGAATTCTGCGTCTAAGGCGTCACCTTTGACTGAAGGTTTCGATCTGATCTGCTTCATACCACACAAGAAGCATGGAATTGCATCCTATGTCAAACAAGGCATAAAAGCATCCACCACCGGGTGATCTCCTGTGAACTTAGCTCTACAGTAGAGCACCTTTGAAGCTATGGGAACCCACTTCTGCAATTTGTATAAGCCACCACCTGTAGATGTTGAAATCATACTCTTCCCAAAGATGCCCTGGAACTCCTTTGTCTGCGGAGATTTCAACAGTCGCAACACTGCCTGGGGATACCCTAAGACCAACAAGAATGGAAAGCTCATTTTTTAATGGCTTGAATCTCAGGAGGTAGTGATACTGTATGACAGCAAGGACAACCCCACATTCTACTCAGGGAGCAACAAATCATGGACTTGCCCCGATCTGTCACTGGTTTCATCAAACATCAGACACACCTGCTCAAGAACTGTCCTTCCAAAGTTCCCGAGGTCTGGCCACTGTCCAATCATCATCTCAAGCGACATCAAGCTTCAACTCTCCAACCTACCAAAGAAGAGATGGAATTTCAGAAAAGCTGACTGGCCCAAGTACCAGGAACTCACAAACAAACTAACATCTCGACTGCCAGACCCCTCCACTAGCAATATGAATGACTCCTACTCTGCTTTCTGCTTCATGTTACATCAGGCGGCAAAACTCTTCATCCCCAGGGGCAAAAGACACCCGTATATTCCATGCTGGGACGAAGAATGGGATCGTCTGTATGAATCCTGCACTAAGTCCAAGACCATTGAAGAAAGAGAGGCTGTAGAGAACGACCTGCTGCTATTACTAGGAGAAAAGAGGAAGATTAGATGGGAAGAAGAAGTCTCCGGGATCAACTTTACCCAGTCTAGTCGCAAGGCTTGGACTACCATCAACAAACTCACTGGTCGAAGCAGTGCTCCAAAACAGTGTTCTGTTACTGCGAACTCCATTGCTTCAGTCCTAGTTAACAATGGAAAGTGGTAAGATAAAACCACTGAGGCCTAAACCCATGCACTCTCGCTCTGTGACCTCTGAGATAAAGAACCTCCTCAAGTCCACTCCAGAGTCAACCTACATATCTGAAGCCTTCACCTTGGATGAGGTTGAAACTGCACTGAAATCAATAAAGTCCGGCAAAGCACCAGGCAATGATAACATCCACACAGAGTTCCACAATAACATGAGTCACAAAGCTACTTCCTGGCTACAAGCATTTCTCTCTACCTGCATGGCAACATCCACTATTCCATCAAAATGGAAGACTGCTAAAGTTATTGCCATTCTGAAGCCCAAGAAGCCTACAGACCAAGAGCTATCGTCCAATCAGTCTGCCATCTCACATCTACAAGCTACTTGCCAGTATCGTTGACACTGTCGAATAGAAGCTATCTACTACACAGACAGGTTTCAGGAAAGGTAAATCAACCACCAACCAAGTGGTCCGGCTTGTAAACAACATAGAGACGGCCTTCCAGAAGCAGCAGAAGTTTGGTGCAGTTCTTGTCTACCTAACTGCGTCATTTGACACAGTATGGCACCCATAGCTTAAACCTCAGGACCCTGCAGATCATTCCAGATGTGAGAATTGTGAAATTCATCATGCTTCTTGTACAAGATTGGTCATTTGTTCTTGAAACATCAAACGGCGAATGCAGTAGGAAGAGGAGACTCCGCAATGTTGTGCCGCAAGGCTCTGTCCTCGCTCAAATACTTTCCAACATCTATGTCTCTGATATGCCCAAGGGGAAATGCATGTACGGTAGTATTCCTATGCAGACGACACCGCACTAGGGTTCGACAATCACTCCTTCGAGGCAATCAAAACATCACTGGAGAAGGACCGGAGTATGCTAGCTGAGTTCTTCAACAGATGGCATCTCAAGATAAGCATACCAAAGACTGTATCCTCCGTCTTCCATCTGGCAAACTGATGCGCCAATCGAGAGTTGAATATCTTACTGAATGGGTCTAGGCTGAATTTCGACCCCACACCAAAGTACCTAGATGTCCCTCTTGATCGAAGCCTCACCTTCCACGAGCATGCCAAAGCCACAGCTCAAAAGACCCAAGCAAGAGTGTCTTTCCTTGAAAGAAGCTTGCAGGAACCAGATGGGGAGCTACAAATCCCCTCACGGTGCTTCTGGACTTCGAGAGCTCAATGATGAGACAATCGGTTGGCTAAATAAGGACCTTCCTATTTAGATGATGTACTAATTTTTTGAACTTGTTGTGCTATATGAAGTATGTACATTTCGGACATACATATAGATAGTATTTGTGCATGTTTACTGAGTAGGCATGTTTGATATAATTATAATCATAAACAAATAAGAGCTAATAAAACTTGGTGCTTTTACATCTTTGATACATAAACGTCATAATACGTTGACTGTTCTTCTGTAAACTCGAAAAACTTTTGTTTAGGGCGTGTTCTAGTGGATAAGTTACCCGACTGCAGATCTATCACAAGGTACAGGGTTCGAGTCCCGCCGCAACACTAATATCTTTTGGCAGGACGTTAATCTACATTTTCCACTCTCCACCCAGGTGTTAAATGGGTATCTGATAGGATGCAAAAGTTAATGTGGTTGGATGAGCAAGTTCGCACTTGTAAAATGGTGACTGGCCGGAATACTCCCCAGTGAGTGGAGAATGTGCATACATTGTGTGCAGGTAAGCCTAAATCCGATGACTGGGGTCATAATATATACTACGCCTAGAAACAAGTATTAGGCGCGTTATAATTGTGATCTATTAATATTATTGTTATTAAAATTGTCTGAGATTTTGCGTACCGGCAGCCAGTTACTTTACTTCAGCTTCTACTAATTTTCTCCAGCAAAAATCCATCAGTGAAAGTTTGAAGAGACAATCATAAGTGATTATCATTAACTCTCGCAACATAAATTTCTTCAGATTTGAATAATTACCACAGTCCATATAGACTCTGGACATCTTTTGACTTTGTTCCGTTTCTAGACTCTAATAGATCTAGATCTAATTTAAATTGTTTAATCAATGTCAACAGCTGATATTCCCTGCAGGATTGATTTTGTAAAAGAATTCTTACTCTTGAATTTGCTTATTCATTTGTTATATAAAATAAGGTTTATTTAAGGTTAATTTCAAATCTCTTTTTCAATATATTTTCCTCTTCTAAAGCCGATTTGAAGACACCATTAATTTGTTTTAATGGCCCAGCGTTTAGTGTTTAGTATAATTTAATTTAATCTACTATTTCCATCTAATACACATTACTATTCTCATCTTTACAAGTAATTCACACATTCTATCTGCTATTTTCATCTTTGCAAGTAAATTCACACATTCTCGTCTTTGCAAGTAACTTTAAACAATCATCTACAATTCTCATCTTTGCAAGTAAGTTCACACATTCTCGTCTTTGCAAGTAACTTTAAACAATCATCTACAATTCTCATCTTTGCAAGTAAGTTTACACATTCAATCTACTATTCTCATCTCAGTGCACATGGCTATAAGACTACGCCTACTTGTTTCCAATTCATCGTGACTGTCTCATGGACCAGTGATGACCTGGTGGTAGAGTTGCTGCCCAGCAAGCTGTAGATGGCAGGTACAAATCCTGTTGGTTCCAATATTTTTTCTGACATGTCTCTAAGTATGTGACCTTCATTTACTTGGTGCAAGCCAAAATTACCTTTCAACAGTTGAAACTTCTCTCAGGAAGCCTAATATTAAAGTAAGTTCACACCTATTATCTATTTTTCATATCTTTGTGAGTAACTTCACTCATATTTCCTACTAATATTTTCTTTGCAATTAATTTTATTTGTTAATATGCTATTCACATCTTTACAAGTAAGTTCGCACGTTCCATCTACTTTTCATATCTTTGCGAGTAATTTCACTCATATTTCCTACTAATATCATCTTTGCAATCAATTTCATTTGTTTAATATGCTTTTCACATCTTTGCAAGTAAGTTAACTCATTTCATCAACTTATCTAATTTCAATGCACATATATGACCATGTCTACTTCATCCTTCGTTACAAATGCAAGACAATTAGTATCATGTTGAATTATTTTCACAATTATAGATGCTATTCTATTAACGTTGGGTACCAGCTATTTTGTCAGAGACAATCCTGAATTCTTATATTTCTTTTCCATAGGCACTTTTCTAGGATTGTTCAAGCTCCTTGGCGTTCCTGTCATACGTACATTCCTCTCAACAGTCGTGCAGGATCATGAACATGGTAAAATATTATACAAATAATGAATGGTTATGAGTTCAATAGTGCGAATATGTTCATGAGTTGATAGATTAACATTCTATTCAACGAGGCGTCAGCCGAGTTGAATAGAATTAACGTTAATCTTTCAACGAATGAAAATATTTGCACTATTAAACGAATGAAAAACATTCATTATTTGTTTTATACAACATCGAAGAAGACCTAATAGAACGTTAATCAACAAATTATGCTTTACTCCTTATAAAGATAAATTACAGTTCGAGTCAAGCCTTCTCAATTACATGCAGATTGCCTTCGCGTCAGACACACGCAGGGATACGCGCGCGCACATGCAGCAGAGAGATACGCAGTCTGCATATAACCAAAAATGCACGACCGTGCAATATACCATCTATTGAATATCATGTGACCAACAATCGTCCAATCAAATGACAAGGATCCACGTAGGTGTTGTATAAAAGGTTTCATATAAACTACTTCTCCTGGTAATCAAATGTATATATGGCATTGCACCTGTGTATATTCGTGCATTAGCCCTAGTATATGCACCCAAACACAATCTGAGTCCAAATATAACTAAAAACGCTCTTTCAAATTCCTGTGCAGACCTAATCTCAAAAGAAAAAATCAAAAGATAGCACCAGAACTCTGGAATAAACTCAGTTGGATCAATTTAAATCTTAAATGAAAACACAATCTTTCATTAATGTGTAGTTTAAGTTTGTATGACATAAATACAGTGATGTTCTAAAATGCATATACAGACCATCGTGTTATCATGCATTTATTAAGCAATGTGCTAAAGTACTATTATCTATTATTTAAGAAAATAATATTGTTGTGAACAACATAGTAGAATTGAGTGAAGGTTGTCTCATGATAAAAGTTTTTTACCCCTGATTTTATTCTTTTTAGGGGCATTGTTTGCTTCGCTTGGTGTATTGGATGGTCTGTGTTCGTTTCTTGCCTCACCCATTGTGAATGGAATATACTACAGTACTATCGACGTATTATCAACTACAGTCTTCTTCTTCATGTCTGCTTTATTATTCATCCCTTTTATCATTACAGGGTAAGTTTTCATCTTTCTCTTCTACTACTACCACCACCACCACCACTACTACTACTATAAGGCATACTACTACTACTGCTACAGAGATGCCAACCCTCCCTGAACATTTTTATGCCTCCGCCACCGAAGGTGGTGCCGGAGGCATCATGTTTTCGGGTTGTCCGTCCGTACGTCCGTCCGTCCGTACGTCCGTACGTCCGTCCCGTTTGACCGTTATCACAATATCTCAAGAACCATTTAAGATTTAAACTTAAGACTCTGGAATAGTATTTATCACCATAGGAAGACGATCTGATTAGATTTTGGAGTACGTAGGTCAAAGGTCACAGGTCACAGAGGTCAACTTATGAAATTCCTTGTATTGAGTTTGTTAGCGCGATATCTCAAGAACCATTTGAGATTTAAACTTCAAACTTAAGGATAGTATGTATCACCATAGGAAGACGATCTGATTAGATTTTGGAGCACGTATGTCAAAGGTCAAGGGTCACAGAGGTCAACTTATGAAATTCCATACATTGAGATTGTTATCATGATATCTCAAGAACCACTGGAGATTTAAACTTCAAACTTAGTGATAGTGTGTATCACTATAGGAAAACAATCTGATTACATTTTGGAGCACGTAGGTCAAAGGTCAAGGGTCATAGAGGTCAACTTATGAAATTCCATACATTGAGATTGTTATCATGATATCTCAAGAACCACTGGAGATGTAAAAACTTCAAACTTAAGGATAGTATGTATCACCATAGGAAGACGATCTGATTAGATTTTGGAGCATGTAGGTCAAAGGTCAAGGGTCACAGAGGTCAACTTATGAAATTCCATACATTGAGATTGTTATCATAATATCTCAAGAACCACTGGAGATTTAAACTTCAAACTTAATGATAGTGTGTATCACCATAGGAAGACAATCTGATTAGATTTTGGAGCACGTAGGTCAAAGGTCAAGGGTCACAGAGGTCAACTTATGAAATTCCATACATTGAGATCGTTATCGCGATATCTCAAGAACCACTGGAGAATTTTCACTTCAAACTTAATGATAGTATGTATCACCATATCATAATATCTCAAGAACCACTGGAGATTTAAACTTTAAACTTAATGATAGTGTGTATCACCATAGGAAGACAATCTGATTAGATTTTGGAGCGCGTAGGTCAAAGGTCAAGGGTCACAGAGGTCAACTTATGAAATTCCATACATTGAGATTGTTATCATGATATCTCAAGAACCACTGGAGATTTAAACTCCAAACTTGTTTAAATTGCTCTATGGCGGAGGCATCATTTTCGACTGCGCGCAGTCAAAATTCCATCTAGTTTCATATTTTTATTTGTCACTCAACACAAATTTTAATGCCTCACTGATTTCTGAATGAATCCTCCCTGAGGAGCAGAATGTAAAGGTTGGCATATTTCATACTACCACTAATACCGACATTACACTAATACTGATACCATACTCGTTTCGCTGCATCTTTACAGACCAGAAAACCTCAATTCATTTACATTCATTTATGGTATCAGTACTAATACTGATACCATACCTACTACTACTGATACCAATACCAATATTTATTACACTAATACTGATACCAACACCAATATTACACTAATACTGATACCAACACCAATATAACACTAATACTGATACCAACACCAATATTACACTAATACTGATACCAATACCAATATTACACTAATACTGATACCAACACCAATATTACACTAATACTGATACCAATACCAATATAACACTAATACTGATACCAATACCAATATTACACTAATACTGATACCAATACCAATATTACACTAATACTGATACCATCCCAATATTACACTAATACTGATACCAATACCAATATTACACTAATACTGATACCAATACCAATATTACACTAATACTGATACCAATACCAATATTACACTAATACTGATACCAATACCAATATTACACTAATACTGATACCAATACCAATATTACACTAATACTGATACCAATACCAATATTACACTAATACTGATACCATCCCAATATTACACTAATACTGATACCAATACCAATATTACACTAATACTGATACCAATACCAATATTACACTAATACTGATACCAATACCAATATTACACTAATACTGATACCAATACCAATACTTCACTAATACTGATACCATCCCAATATTACACTAATACTGATACCAATGGGTAGCGTCTACTATTACCAAGGTATTAGTGTCACCCCCCACGGGGTTATCCATGTCCATGAGGTGTAGTTTTAATGGAGCCTGAATGTTTGTTTGTGTGGTGGTTTTGTTTTTCCCACCATAACCTTAATAAAAAATATCTCACCATCCCTCTGATACTCACCAAGCGGATCGGTTTTCCTTTTACTTTTTTAATATTTGTATTTCTCTTGAAAAGGGATACAGGATTTGTTCTAATACACCTACCAGTCATTCTAATTTATTGGTCCAAATGGAAATTTGTTACGTTTACATGCTTTATTCACATACAAAAAATAACAATAAATGTACATGTGACATGGTACATTACCAAAAAAAAGAGTTTAGTGAGAACAAACATATATCACTTGAACATTCACATTATGTTTACATTATATTCAATGTTTGTCCATATATCCAGTGTAATTACAAACACAAGATTACATTGTAATTATTATTATTATTATCATTACCAATATTAATATTATTATTATTCATTACAATTTAGTTTCATTAGTATACAAATAATACACAACAGTGAGGGCATTAGTAAGAATTACCCACACTAGATACGTTTGGACTGTTTGAAGGCACCGAGTGTGGGTAATTACACTAATCATGCCCAAACAAAATGATGTGTATTATTTGTTTTATAGTATTATGTTTTATTTTTTTAATAAAAGATGTCTTATAACATGATTTTGATAATGACCGATCATTACCATTGGATAATGACCGGTCATTATCCAAATAACTTGTTAGGCAATATAAATGCCTGGTCATGTGTACGCTTTCAACCAATCTTTTGATTGGGATCCATGTCATCTTCTTATAAAATAACTAAGTATATCTCTCTTCCTCCCTCTATTTCCTTGTACACAGTGCCCTACAATGCAGGGGATTTGGAAGAGAAAATAGAAATCGCCCTCTATCAATGAATGCAGACGTTAATGATGAAACAGGACTTCTACCACCACCAGAGAATGATCAGTAGATGAGCCGTCTATCAATCATTCAATGCAGACGTTAATGATGAAAGGGGGCTTCTACTACCACCAGAGGATGATCAGTAGATGAAGCATTTATTCCCTCTGCAAAATACAACTGATGCCTTTGTGGAAGGGGAAGTCCACCCTCATATTAAGTGGGTTTTAATAGGAGTAGAAACATTGGAGAAATATGTCAGTGAAAGGTTGAGCAAAAACCGTCTCAAAATGAAAAAGTTATGAATTGTTGAAGGTGCGATGAACCAAACACAGATTTGCAACTCTGTGATGTATCTTGCAACCAATAACCAAAAATAATTGTGTTTTCCCTTTTGAAAAATCGCAATCATATATGACAATTGTAATTATTTTTTTATACAACCCTTGTAAGAAAATGAATGTTTATAAGATTTTCTGTACAGAGCAAATTACATTTTTTGTTTCACTGATGACAACTTTATAATTTCATAACTTTTCTATTTTCAGTCGTATATTTCTCAAAATTTTACTGATCTGTTTCTCTAATTTGTCTCTTTTTATCAAAACCCAACCAAATATCAGGTGGACTTCCCCTTTAATAATATTATGGTAATATTATGTACAGTCAAACCCGCTTTAGTGACCACCTGTCTACAACAAGCACTTTTTGTGTTTTCCTTGGGCGGTCGCCAGGCGCATACGCAGGGGGGGGGGGGGTGGTTCAATCCCCCTTTGGTATTTTTTATGTGTGTATTTTGGAGGAAAACCCCCTTTTAAATTTAAACAAAAATAAATAAAAAATATATCAATGGCTGACCTAAAAAAGTTGACCTCCCCCAACAGAGAAAAATGTAAATTTTTCAAATTTCGAGACCCCGGCCCCCCCCCCAAATAAAGTGTCCTCTTAGCCCCCCCCCCCCCCCCCCCCCCCCCCGCTTATTCAGGAAATGGCCGAGTCGTTGCGTTTTTTTTTGGACCAAAAAAAAAAGAAAGAAGTGTCCTCTTACTCCCCCCCTCCCCGGTTATTCAGCGACTGGCTGAGTCGTTGCGAAATTTAAAAATGTAAGAACCCCCCCCCTCCCCCCCCCCTTTAAAAAATCCTGCATACGCGCCTGGTGGTCGCTGTAGACAGGTTTTGACTGTATATACATTCATATGGAACCAGCTATCACAAGTGCCAATCAATTATTCATAACATTTTGAAACAATTGTAAATTACAAGGAAGATTCATTACATATTTTTAAACAATTTATTTCCTTCTTTATGTGTCTCAGTCTGTTATAATAAATTATTTCTGTTTATATGCATGTACATGTATGTATCTGATCGCCCAAATAGGTTCTTTTTCTGAGGCCGCCAAGACTTTCAAGCTCTAGCTTAAGATAGCAGTCTCCTGCATTTTTCAAATTTGAAATGATTTGTCGATTTTTTTTTTTTTTTTTAAAGGTATGAATATTTAATGGATTTATTCTATGATATAATATATGTTTTGTTAATTTTGTTACTAATATATGGTACTTAGTTTGTATATTGTTATTATATTGAAATATATGCAGAAATAAAATAAAACAAACAAAAACGGGAAAACTTAGACCTCAGACCAACTTCCTTTGTGAAATCTGTCACTCTCTGTCTCTCTCCCTGTCTCTGTCTCTGTCTCTCTCTCTCTGTGTCTATCCCTCTCTCCCTCTCTCCCTCTCTCTCTATGTCTATCTCTCTCTCTCTCTCTCTGTATCTCTCTCTCTCTGTATCTCCCTTTCCTTCTCTCTCTGGGTAGAGAGTGGCACAATGTAGAATGAATTAATGTGGGTTTTGCGTTGGCTCATGCCAATGAATTCTGATCAAAAGGGTCTTGATCGAATCGTACTGCTAAACATTGTCAGAACGTCACGGTTACTGCTGTCCAGCTGTAATTGCACTTATGACACAAGATCTGGATTTACACTGTTGCTCATATAGGTGGAATATTTTTTTTTTACCCCAATTTATGGAATTATTTTAAAAATAATTTAAAAATAATAGATCTAGATAAAAGTATACATTCTCAGTTTTTATTGAATAATAATGTGCAAGTGTGTCTTTTGCGTGACTGCTAAAGCATGTGTATGCTTATCAAATAGGGGACCTACGCCCTTAAGTCACAAATGACAGTAATGAGGATTAATGCCCCACAAAAGGGCACTAATATAGCACATCGACACGGTTTTGATCCTGGGGCCTCACAGTTACGAGGCCATTGCTGGGGTAGGGGGCAGTTTCCATAAATAAAATAAAAAAACAGAAAATGCAATAATTTTTCAATAATTTATTGCATTTTACCCCGGTTCCCAACATAAAAAAATCCTCTGTGTTGCCATGCCTTGAGCAATTTTATCATGTTAGTTGTACTACAGCTAATGAGGATACTTACATCATTTGAGAAATAACATGGATGAGGAAAAGTAGCTATGAAATCAGAGTTCAACTTATCGCCAGTTATCTATTTACAGCAGGGTGGAGATCGAGGAGGAAATTCGAACCCCCAGCCCTTGGATTGAGGCATTGAGAGTGGAGTGAATGAACCTAGCTCACTACCACAATACATAGCTCTACTAATACAGTGATCTAATCGGCTGTCGACACCAACAGCTAGAGAAAGGTTTTTTTATGACAACACACTCAAACTTTCATCACAAAATACATGTACACAAACAGGTACTCGCAATATATATGAAACACATTTATTATCTTGGCTATTATTAATTAATCTAGTATACAGTGTTCAGTGCATTATGAATATTCATACTAAAACAGTTCAATATCATGCATTGAATGATCGCTACGTATATACCGGGCAATACCATATAGTTTTATAATGATAATCTGTAATGATGTTAAGAGAATGGTTTTCTGAATTTGTCGGTAAATATGACCCCTCTAAGCTAGTGCTAAGGCCTTATACACCATGATGTTCAATTGTTTATAGAATGATCTGGAAACGATTGGTCACTGGGCAAGTTGTGTCCAACTCATTGCACAGCGTTTTTATAAGTTACTCGTAATGCGCTATAAAACGTTTTTACTCTTCATTACTATTATTAATCTTATTTCATTATTATTGTTAATTTTAACGTCGTTATTATTGTTATTATTATTATCATTGCTGTCATGATTATTCTTATTACTGGTGTTAAAGGTAATACAAAGTTTTGGTATGGGGTCATGAATTTCGTTCAAACAAATATATTGGAAGCATATGCGATCCTACAATATTCAGTACTCGTTGTCGCGGTTGAAATCGAGTCTAAAGTTATTAAATTGTAAATAATAAACTCTTTTTGTTATATAGCTCCCTCTCAAGGTCAAGATATTAATTAAGCTAAAAAAACAATGTTTCTTGACTAAAATCAACCGATTCGCTATTCCCGTTTGGAAATTATATATCTCAATTACCAGGGCGGCGATTTCTTTTCATGACCGGGGGGGGGGGGGGGGGGACGAAACGCGAGGAACGAGGGAGGAGTGACGTAATGAGCAAAAACTTTTCTTTTGGGGGGGGGGGAGAGAAAAAAAATCCGAATCATCACCGCTCTTACATGTTACATTTCAAAGTGGGAGAAGGGGGGGGGGGGGAGCTAAAGTATTTGCGATCAAATAGAGCAAAACAAGTGGCGCGTAAATTGGCGTGGGGTCCAGGGGCGGAGCCCCATGAAGCTCACAGTTTTTAGGCATTTAATAAGGGTCAGATGAGCATATTTTGATACCTTATTTGTGACACTTGCATGCAGGTCGTAATCGGAGTGGGGTCCAGGGGGCGAAGCCCCCAAAAGCTCAGCGGTTTTAGGCATTAACTTACGATCAGATGATCATCCAGGGGTCGCCTTAGGGCCCTTGGTGGGGTGTAGGGCGCGGAGCTTCCGGAAGCTCAGGGTTTTAGGCCTTTGAATATGGTCAGGGTCCTGATGGGGTCCAGGGGTCGGAGCCCCCTGAAGCTTATGTGTTTTAGGCATTTAATTATGGTCAGCTGAGCAACCAGGGGCCCGTCTTAGGGCTCTTGGTGGGGTACAGGGGGCAGAGCCCCCGGGAGCTCAGAGAAAATCATGCCATTTCAGCAAAATGTGTAAATTAGTCACTGGTATCGAATTAGAAATAAACCACGTTCGAATTTAATCGGGGAGGGGGAGGGGGGGGGGGGGGTGAGGAAACTACCCCAAGCCCGAATGAGTGAGCATAGTGAACGAGAGGGCTGAAGGTGACGAAAGTAACTACCCTCTTACAGGTTTTGAAGTTTTGTTGTATTACAAAATTATATTCCTTAGGAAAACTATAGTATGAAAAGCAACAATATACTCTTTTTCACAATTCACTTTTCTACAATATTTACTTAAATATTTTGAAGGATATTATGCGAGGGAGCATAGCTCCCGAGCCAGAAGATTTTGGATTTATATTTGTCTAAACGCTGCACTCTTGGGCCCTCCAAAGCCTAATAGTGTGTTGCAGTCTTTAGTCAGTACGTATTTGCTTTACTTTTTTTTTAATGCACTTTTTCGAATCTTCCGGGGGGGGGGGGGGGACGATCCCCCTACAAAAAGTCTCGCTAGTAAACACAAACAAGATGAAAGAGAAATATACAAAAGTATTAACCATATATATATATATTATTTTTGTACCACTTTACAACTATTTGTGACCTCCTTCCATCCATTACCTTCCTGTTACAAGATTAACATGCATATAATTATAATAATGCAGAACCGTAAGAAGCTCTTGAAAAGAGAGGTACGACGATCGCTAATACTTTTGCAAAATCATCTCGGGGCAGTTTCAATACCATTGTGTACTTGCCATAGAGTACCGAAGTAATACCCCATTCACAGTGGTTTGGAAATTTGTAGCGGCGTTGTAGCGGAGCGGCGACACCGCCATAACACGTACTATACCGCTACAAATGCATTCACAGTAGAAAAGTTATCCCGCTGCAGCAGCGGGATAAATATCATGTACCCATTCACGCTGCAGCGGGTGATTTTTATTACCTCCGTAACAAACACGTGTATGCATGGCTCATGACCCGCGAGTGACCCCGATATGACCGGAAATACTTCAGCGCGTAAACATGTCAAGTTGCTTTTTGTATCCTCGATCATATTACTTTTTAAAAAAACTAGCATTTTTATTGCTTCCAGTCAGAATATTTTAATTTTTTGAAGTGTGAAATATTTTTATTTGGATAATTATAATATCTACATAATAATAAAATCAATTTGAATCCACTGGTTACTTTATTTCTATTTCACTTTATGTTCCCCATTGCTGGAGAACGATAGGTAAGTAAACAAATCACACGTGTTTGTCGCGGTGTTATAGCGGAGAGCCTTCACACTGA